AAACAAAATTCTATTTACTTGATTTCCCGCTCAAACAATAGTAAATAGTAAAGGTAAATTAAAAAACGAACATAAATATTTCACAATAATTCTCTACATCATCATCAATTAAAAATGGAACAAAAATGAGGTAAATTGGAAAATAAATGAATATTAATAATTGACTGAAAATTAAAAATGAAAAAAAGAAACAGAAATTAGGTTAAGTGGAAAAGAAATGAATATTAATAATTAACTGAAAATTAAAAATGATTCATAATTGACTAAAATTGAAAAGAAAATTGTCAGATTATTGCATTTTAATTTTCACAATAATATTACATAGTAGAATAAATCAAAACACAATTATATCATAAATCTTTCACAATTTTAAGCAATGGAACAGAAATTAAAAATGGAACGAAAATATTTCAATAATAATATTCTACATCATCAAGTAAAAGTAAATAAAAAATGAAAAGGAAATATTTCAATAATAATATTCTACACCATCAATAGTAAAGACATATTTTAAACAACAGTAAAGGTAAACTAAAAATGGAACGGAAATATTTCAATAAAAATATTCTACATCATCAATTAAAAATGGTTCGGATAGGTAAAAATATCACTGCATCTGATATTCTAATTGACCAATTGACTGAGAATAAAAAGAATAATTGCCTGAAAATGAATCTGATATTACTAATTGACTGAAATTATAAAAGGAAATGAATATTAATAATTGACTACAAATAAAAAATGATCCATAATTGAAATGAAAAAATAAATTGACAGATCATTGCATTTTAATTAAAAAATGAAACAGAAATTAAAAATTTGACGGAAATATTTCAATAATAATATTCTACATCATCAATAGTAAATACATATTTTAAACAATAGTAAAAGTAAATTAAAAATACAAAGAAAATATTTCAATAAAAATATTCTACATCATCAATTAAAACTGGAACAGAAATTAGGTAAAAATATCAATACATCTAATATTCTAATTGACTAATTGACTAAAAATAAAAAAGAATAATTGGCTGAAAATGAATTTGATATTACTAATTGACTGAAAATATAAAAGGATTACTAATTGACTGAAATTCTACCATTATATATTTTTACCCGAGTCACTCATCCTTTGGGACTAAAGGTGTTAGCTCTAGACGAAGATAGACAAGATTGTGTTGTTACTATCAATGTTGTCTACAAAGAGGTTTCAATAGTATGTAAATACAATCTGTGATATTATGTTTTTTTAAATGGCAAAATTGCTATATATCTAGACAAAAAATATATTTTCCATACAAATAAATTAGGATATCAATTCATTTTTATAACTGAGTTGCTAGAGAACGAGCACATTTGATTAATTTATAAAAGTACTGAACAATGATAAATAAAATCTCCAAAGTTACAACACCGCATGTTTACATTTACATATTAGCTATTAATTTGAGCAATTAATAACATAAAAACACATAAATGATCCAAACCATACTTTCAATTGCACTATATAATCTTTGATGTTCTAATTTAAATAATTATATATCGATCCAAATATTCTTAGTATATTACAACAAATTCATTCCGTGCATCGCACGGGCGCAAATACTAGTATAACTAAATAAGAATAAAAATTTCCAAATTTCAAGTCTTTTAGGTAGGGGTGTAAATGAGCCGAGCGGTTTGCGAGCCGCTCGGTCAAAGCTCGGCTCGAGCTCGGTCAAAATCAAGCTCGAGCTGAACTCGAGCGGCTCGTTTATTAAACGAGCCGAGCCCGAGCTCAAATATTATAGACTCGTGGCTCGTCGAGCCATAATTAAATAAATAGATAAATATTACATATATGGTAAGGATCAATGACTACTATTGACTTGTAATTAAAGTGAAGTTGTAAACTTGTTTTTAGTGTTTGGAGTCTTTAAACATTGAAGTTTGGACTTTTGAATTTTTTAAAGTTTTTATTATTTATGTATGGATAAAACAATGTTTATTATTAATTGAAATATGAATTCAAATAGGTCAAAATCGAGCCCAAGCTCAAACAATTGAGCTGCACGAGCCGAGCTCGAGCGGCTCAAAAAATTGTCGAGCCGAGCTCGAGCATCATTTTTTGAGCTCGACCGAGCTCGAGCCGAACCATGCTTATTGAGCTCGAGCTCAAGCTAACCCATGCTTGAGCTCGGCTCGGCTCGTTTACACCCCTACTTTTAGGGTTTTACTTTTTAATTTCCTTTTATATTAATTATTAGATTATTAGATAAGTAAAATAAAATTATAATAATGGTTCTTAACGGGTTATACACAGGTTCATATAAACGGGTTCGTCTAAACGGGTTAACAAGATAACATTAACGGATTAAACATGTTCTTAATGGGTTTGGCGGGTTGACCCATTAAGACATGAATCATAACGGGAGACAGGTTAAGGCTTATCACTAATCCGTTATTTTCGTGTCGTGTTAACGGGTCATGTCGATAATTGCTAGGTCTACTATTTGTGCTTCAGTAGGTTGAGAAAGTAATTATGAACAGATACTACATTGTAATAGAGTCAGTAGCATTCAAAAAAAAAAAAAAATTTAAGTTATTTAGAGTTGATGAGATCGAAAAAAAAAAAAGTAATTTTAAATCACTGGCTGGAGTACTGATTACAATGCAGTATCTTATTCGTGCCACTAAACTATACTTTGGCTTAAAAAGTTATAACTTAATGATAAGAAAAAAGTTATTTTTAGTTATTTCAGTCACGAACTCTTTGCCTTTATTTAAAGGAAATTAAACTCGTCTTGACAAAAAATTGTTGTTAGCGGTTAAATTTATCTAACATATAATATGATACAAATCAATTATAGCGCATTACGTTAAGACATGATTTTATCATATTATAAGTACACTCAATGTTGGCGTAAATTAATCCGCTACAACCCCAACATTGATTTATGTAGTATATTAAACATAATAGTTGGGTGAGGTTGAAGACAGTAATGGAAGTAATTAATTGCAGTTCTTGGCAATGTTGAAAAAAAAAAAAACGTTAAGCGCTTATTAATCCAACAACAACAAAAAAACTCGGTCGATTCAACGGCCTAAGCACCGATTAAGTCGCCTAATCAGCGTTTAGGTCGCTGATTTCGGTGATTTCCTAGGCGACATGCCGCTTCCTAGTGCCTAGGCGCGATTTTTACAACATTAGTTCTTGGTAGCTTCGAGTTACAAGAACAATATTGTATTGAAATTTATAGACTTCCTTGTAGTAGACCGCTATCCTATTAGAAATAAGATGGTTGTGTGTGGTATTAGGTCGTTTGCCTTGAGATTGTTGGCATCAGCAAGAACTTTGGAGAGTTACAACTAATTTCAGGTGTCTTTAATAACAACAACTATCTAAATAGGTCTTTTTAGTACAATTTATCTCTCTTGTGTAATTTGTGAACTATTAAACATAGCAGTTTCCTCTAATACACACTAGTGACGGAGGGTTTCCCTTATCACAAAAAAAAAAAGAAAAAAAAAAAAAAAAAAAAAAAAAAAAAAAAAAACCAAGAAACCACAAAGTATTTGCTTGATGTAATCTACATTGCTAATTGCTAACTTCACTCTTAGTTTTGTGAAAGCATGACTAATTTCCTTAATAGAATCAAAATCATCATTAATCTTTGTTTTGCCTTTGTAAGATTTCAAGTTTATTGTGTTCTTTATTGGATTGTTTTGAAGTATCAGCAACATAATCATAGATTGCACCTCGTCCTTCTAGACCACTTGTAAGTGGTATAGCTTCATGTGGGCATAAGTTCATTTTTAATATGAGATTGACATGAATCTTTTTAGTTGACTGGTCGAAAAAATTTGTAATTAGTCTTTTATTTTTTTAATAACTATAATTAGGATATATGTTTTGTTTTAAATTTTTATGTGAATAATTGCAAATTATTTTTACTCAATATAAGGTAAATAAAAAAAATTACATTTTCGATCCTTCAATTATTTAACCTAAGTTTCTTGGCTTCGTTAAATCCACCTCAAATTCTTAGTGGCGTTGAAAGCAATGTTAAACATTAATTCGACGACCACTTGAGCTACCCAGACAGAACTTGATCTTTTAATTATTGACCTAGTTGTAAGTAGGGGTGTAAATGAGTCGAGCGGTTCGCGAGCCGCTCGGTCAAAACTTGGCTCGAGTTCGGTCAAAATCGAGCTCGAGCCGAACTCGAACGACTCGTTTATTAAACGAGCCGAGCTCGAGCTCAAATATTCTAGGCTCGTGGCTCGTCGAGCCGCTCGTGAGCCATAATTAAATAAATAGATAAATATTATATATATGGTAATGATTATTGACTACTATTGACTTGTAATTAAAATGGAGTTATAAACTTGTTTTGAGTGTTTGAAGTCTTTAAATATTGAAGTTCGGACTTTTAAATTTTTTAAAGTTTTTATTATTTATGTATGGATAAAACAATGTTTATCATTAATTGAAATATTAATTCAAATAGGTCAAAATCGAGCCTGCGCTCGAACAATCGAGCTGCTCGAAAAATTGCCGAGCCGAGCTCGAGCATCATTTTTCGAGCTCGATCAAACTCGAGCTCGAGCCGAACTATGCTTATCGAGCTCGAGCTCGAGCCAACCCATGCTCGAGCTCGGCTTGGCTCGTTTACACCCCTAGTTGTAAGTTAGTAAATGAAAGATTAATTTACAACTATGTCAGCAATTAAATAACTAGATTTACCCGATCAAAAAAAAAAAAAAAAACTAGATTTACAATAATTGAAAAATAAAGACTAGATTTTATAACTACGTTAACATTTGAAACTCGAAAACAATTTAATTACCAAAAGTACAATTTCTCATAAAGAAAGTGAAAACAAGCTACTATACACAAATTACGGCCCGCTATTTGGAAGGCATTCATAAACCGCAACCCCCGGGCCAAATTCAACACCATCCACATTTCTTCTATTTTAACTAACAGTTTAAACTGATAGTAATAAAAAGTACAAATGGAGTACATCAGAATATCTTGTAATTACAGTAATAAAAAGTACAAATGGAACCAAATCAATGCAGAGGGCATAGGATTCTCTTTGTTAAGGATTGAAACATTGTGAATCTTTCTACTTAGGAACAATGGGAAATCCTAAGAATCCTATAAAATAAGTAATCAAAGTGTAATAGAATGATCTTAAGATTTCCATAATCTTGCCACCACAAATGAAGAATATGAATATCTGTATAAGAAATGTGTTCCGGGCTTCCAGCAAGACCGAGCTATGTACAATGAAGATCTTACCCTTGTTTAGGCGTTTGCGGAAGATGATGATTGTATCTCAAGAACATCATCACGAGAAGCATCAACTGTCGGTTTTGTTGAAAAAGGGACGGGATTTGGTCGGGGACACTGGCGTTGAATAAAACGGTACGTTAGTGATTGAACTGCAAATGGCGTTAGCTAGTTGCTTCCATCTCGGGCATCTGCAGAATGGAAAAGAAGAGTAGCTTCTTCAATCGGTTCTGTCGTGTGGGGTTTATCGAGTAAAAAGACGAGGGTTCTCACCGGCAGAAGGTTTCTTGCCTTCCATAGCTCGACGCTTCTGTTGGCAGCTGGTGCAGAGGAAAGGGCCATCCCAAGGGCGCGACGATTTTCTTGAATCCACTGACTCTGCGTGTACTGAAATGCCCTCTCCGGGTTTTATCTCGACTTGACAGACAGCGCACATGAACAACTTAAACGCATTACAAATCGGGTACCCTGCGTCCAACCTGCAATCCATAGAAAAAACACAAAACATGTAAATATTCGGGACTAAGCGGTACATCCACCATCCATAAGAACAATCTATGCACACGGGATGATTCCCAGTGAGAGCGGCCTATTGGCCTTATTGGTTTGAGCCAGTCAGCTATGAGTAACCTAGACTGGTTTACCTCCTTGTGGTCATTTATCGGCTAGGGTTGACAAGAAACGCTACATGACACACCTTTCTGCAAGTGAAGCCGATCCTTCCTCGAATATCTCCTCGACGACATTTGGTTCACAATACTCTTTCCCATTTCTCGAAGACGATTCGTTATTCTTTTTGCGGAAAATTGCCTTAAGCACCCTTTTCCCCGTCTTTTTGGGTTGTGGTGGTGGAGGGTTCGCCTTCTCTGCGGGTAGTATATCAATCACAATGCAAGTCGTGTCATCTCGAAGCCCTTTTGGCTGCACAGCTTCCTACAATCCGAGGGCGGGAGGAGTTCGATTAGGGATACTAAGAAAATTATTTAGCAAATACTCAAACTACCAAACATACTCGAACAATTTGTGAAGCCGCTGCATCCGGCTGCATCCCACGACAACACTCAAAAGCTGCTTCCGCAGATAAAGCATCCCAAACACCATCACTTGCGACAATAAGCCTACCCCCCGCTGAAGAAAGCTTTAAACATAATAATTCAAAAATTTGTTAGTAAAATTAGATTTTTGAGGGTGAAATGTGAAAGTTGCCATACAATATAGGTAGATTGTGATATAAATCTAGATCACTAAGAGGATCGATGGATCATGATCCTCTTGGTGATCTATAATTATGACCAATGTTGAGAAAATTGCTAGGCGCACTCTAGGCGCCTGGGGACCGCCTAGGGCCTAGGAGGCCGAGCGCCTAGATACGATTTTTGCAACACTGATTATGACCAATAAAAAACTGATTGGCATCGGGAATTAATGGAGATAAACACTTTCAATTCACTTTCGCAAATAATTAAATATTAGACAAACCTTGACTTGCTTTACATATGGCACGGGAACTATGAATTCACCGACATCCATGTCACCGATCGATCTTGAGAGGCATAAACCACCAGGCCAGCACCTCAAAGGACCAATCTGAAATGAAATCAAACACAGATAAGACCAGTGTTGCAAAAATTGCGCTTAGGCGCTAGGCGGTCGGCCTCCTAGGCGTTCCAGGCGCCCGCCTAGGCGGTCCCAGGCGCCTAGAGAGCGCCTAGCGATTTTTTCAACATTGGATAAAACACAACACACTATAATCCCACATCCTCTCCCCGAAAGAGAGAGAACGAGAAACGGGAGTGAGAAAGAAGGAACTATAATTTGGAGATAGGTGATGGGTATAGCTCATATACACGGGAAAGTAAAGATACCTCTGTTCCGCCACCCGTATTAAGCCGGCCAACCTCTCCACCGCTCGCTGTAATGCGTTCCCTTCTATTGTTTTAAGAACACCGAATTCAAACCTTAATCTAAGGGCTAATCCATATAATGTATCAACTATCAAATACATAGACATAAATATATATATATATCTTACTCCTCTACATTGCATTCAAGTCTATGATCCGCTGACAAATAATATATCTCCCCTTCAGCAGATTCAAGAATGCATCGAGAATCGCCAACTGATGCAACTGTTACAACCCATCCTTCAATTATAGCAAGCGTGACAGTCGTTCCCGAAGTGTGAGCTGAAAGTTTTGCACAATATACAAAAACGGCTTATATATGATCCTAATAATAGAGTTTAGCGGCTGGCACTTTAGTAGACATGAATCTAGTACCTTTTTCTTGGAAGTCTTTATCGGTTTTCACAAATCCGGCAACCAATGCCCTAGGCAGTGCTGCAACCCATTCATCCCGGTTGAGTTCTGTTGGGATGACACTCAAAATGTTATTCAAGAGATTTTCTTTAGAATATATAGCGGCAGCAGACCCATTATGCCCATCAAATAGCTGCAATAAGTGCGAAAGAAAAGACAAACCGATGTAATTAGCATTGTAAAGGAATGGGGCGATTGACATAGAAAGTTCTATCGGTATTCAAGACACAGATTCTACACAGAACAATGCCAATTCATTAAAAGCATACATTAGCAAGAAACAACACGAATTCCTTAAAAACATACATCAACGAGAAACAACACAATCTCCTTAAAAACATACCGTCGAAATAAGCATGATAAACATACCGTGAAAACATACATTAGCAAGAAACAACGTGAATTCCCTAAAAACATACATTGGCAAGAAACAACACAAATTCCTTGAAAACAATCAAAACATACATTGGCAAGAAACAACATGAATTCATTAAAAACATACATTAGCAAGAAGCAACACGAATTCATAAAAAAACATACATTGGCAAGAAACAACACAGATTCCTTAAAAAACACACATTAGCAAGAAACAATGCAAAGTCCTTAAAAAAATACTGACGAATTAAGCATGATAAACATACCCCGAAAACAGAATAGGTGGTGAATCCCTCTCCCTGAACCCGTTGGCATCCGGTCTTGAGGAACGTAAAGTCCTCACCTTTCTTGCTCTGGCTGCCTTGACCATGGAGAATCTCGGGATTTTCAATCTTCTCATGGGCCACTTCACGCTGCAACAACACAGACAATGGGACCGACTGATGCTCGCCTCTTGACGACATTGTTCGGTCCCTCCGGACTCAAATCAGCATCAGATATTTCTCCAGCAACACAATTTTTTTTTAAAATCCCAAATCTAATCTTCCATTTATCTCTAAGTCGATCAATTCAACTCTGTATAATACACATCAAAAAGAAACCCCCATATAAATCAGTGCTGGAAAAACACAGTATTCCGCATAATATTCGATCAAACTTCCCTAACATAGAAATCCAAAAACAAAAAGAACAGAACTTTATCAACATTCAACAAAGAGCCGTTTAATATATTCATCAATATCTCTTCTCTTTTTTCTCTTTTTATGACCATTAACAAGAACATTAATGAGGTTCAAGAAATGGGGTTGAGCAAATATAATACTCCTATGAAAAATTCAAGATAAATGGCAGGAAAAAATGCAAAACATTAGATAGGAAACGTAAGATATACTCTGTTGCAGAAGAAGAACGATGGAAAAAAATGTGTCGGGCAGTTACTAGATGGCGGGTTCATTCATCAATAAGACGCGGATCCCAGCGTTAAAGAGCTGCGGAAAATGAAATTCCATCCTCCGTTCTCATTGTCTGTTGTTTGTAGCGCTGGGGAGAGAGAGAGAGAGAGAGAAAGGCAGAGGTAAATATAGGGGTGTGCAAACTTCGGATAATTTTCGGTTAACCGACCGAACCGACAAAGTTCGGTTAACCGTTTTCGAACCGAACTTTTTCGGTTCGGTTAATGGTTAAAGGAATTTTAAAATTTCGGTTAACGGTTAATTCGGTTCGAAAGGTCGGTTAACCGAATTAACCGAACGGTTAATCGAAGTTTTTAATATATATATAAAAATAATAATATAAATATAAATACTAATTTGAAATTATGGATGTTTGGAGTTTATAATTCATGTTATTTATATTTTGTTATGAATGTATTATGATATGTATTTTATTTTAATGCGATTTATTATTTTAAGTGTTATTTTTAGAATTTTAAATTTTAGCTTTAAAAAGTTCGGTTAATCGGTTAACCGACCGATTAACCGAAAAAAATTTCGGTTCGGTGAATTCGGTAGAGCAAATTTCGGTTCGGTTAACGGTTAAAGGAAAAAAAACTTCGGTTAATTCGGTTCGGTTAAAACGGTTCGGTTAACCGAACGGTTAACCGATTGAACACCCCTAGGTAAATAGGAAAACACCTGGGAAGACATAAATGACGCTCTCTATTGGGGGTTAGTTTAATAATTTCGTTTTTAGTTTGTTTTGTCTCAGATTTTTGTCGATCCCAGCTCACAAGATAGAAGAATATCCGTTGAATTTATTTTAATTGTAACTGATTAATAGGAGGTTTTTTTTTTGTTTGTTTTTTTGTTTTAATTTTTATTTTTTTTTAGTAATACTAACTCTGTTACAATATATTATCTATTCATAGCTACTTTCTCAATTTATTAAAGTACAAAAAATTAAAAATATAATTTTTTTTTTTAATAAAGGTCAATAGATTTTTTTTTTTTTTTAAGTCCACGCTTCCGGTTATACATTTCAAGATCTATACCATTATATGGAATATTTAACTGTGTAATCTATGTGCGGTTCAAATTCAAATAATATAAATGTTTTTTAAAATAACTCACCTCCTATTACGTAGCAAAGTTTCGAATAAGGTTGGAAAATTTTTTTATTAAAATGATCAAATGTGATAAGAATCCAATAGTTATGTATACGAAGTGAAAATTTGACACTCATCAAATGTGAAATATGTACAATAGGCGTGGGACACTGGGACCAATAATGAAAATAACTCAAAGTCAATATTGTTAAGAACACATGCTCCATTCTTTTTTATGATTTTACCTCCTAATATTCTGTTCATTATGTTTCAATGCTTAATCAGTTATTTTTATATTCAATTAATAAGTAAATTTTTGTAAACATAAGGTTGGGTCAACTAATTCATATGAAGTCAATATATAATTATAAATATTTTATGAGTTAATTACCAATTTGGTCCCTCGACTATGAGGATTTTATCAATTTAGTCTTCGACTATTAAAATTTCTCAATTTAGTCCCCGACTATGTCATTTTCACCTGATTTGGTCCTATAGTCAAACCAGCATTTTTAAAGTAATAAAATTGAAGACATATTTGTAATTGCACTTTCTTTCCCTTGTCCATTTTCATCTCCATGCTTTGCCTAATTTCAACACACAAAACCTTCTCATTCTAGAATTCCCAAATATCAAACCCTAATCGCACAATCCATGGTCGAAAACTTGAGAAATCATGTTGTTATTTGTAATGGGTTCACCAAGATGGCAAGATATGATGCGCGTCGACAAACCAGTGCTTGCGCTTAGCCGAACTGTCAAGGATGGAGTTAATCATGCTGGTTCTCGAATCGGCGTCAGTCAGAAAATGAAAAGTTGCAGATGTGCCGCCGACTTGTGACTCTGCGCCACCCAGTCATACTCCTCCATCATATTCTCCACGTCTTCGCCCGTCGTAACCGTAATCAACAAGTCAAGGTCCTCGTAGGGAAGCTAGTAAGTACTTCACGACCACGCTGCCCGTGCTGAGCGAGCTTGGACAGCTTAACGAGGAGGGATGAGAAAGACGCGTGGCGGTTCAACGCGACTATGCGCGTGTCGTCGCCGACGTAGCGGAGCTAATTGTCGTGGGGTCGGGGAAGGATCTTCCCACTAAAACTGCACATGAAGCGAACGTGTGGCAGCTACTGCATAGAGACTCCATCGTCGGCGAGGTTTTGGTACAGCGGCGTCAAGTCCACCGAGTCGCCTGCGTTGGACTGCATTCTCGACTGCTATATAAAACAAACGAGTTTGAGTTAGGGAAGAAGGAGATGTTTTTTAAAAATTTCCAATTTGCCTTTTTAGTTTGACTGACAAATTACCTGAGCCCATTATAAAGCCTTTGAAGAGGTATATCGATAATCGAGCCCAACAACTATTGGCTAATCAGATAAGCTCCTACATGTGGAGGACTTCCCTTAGCCTCCGGGACCGCCGAGTGCATGGAGGACACGTGGAGTGCATGTCATCCTCCTGGTATGTGTTCCCTCCAATCTTCTATAAATACCCCACGAGATGCTTGTATGGTGGACTTTTGGACTCTCTATCTAGACTATTAATATACTAGGGAACCTCCGACATCCGGTCACCGTAACCCGAGCTGATACATCCAAATACTCATTACTCAATAACACGTAGGAATACGTATATCTGATGGAATTTACCACATCAGATGTAGTTTGTTAGATTTTTTCTACACATGTACAATTATAAATAGTGATTTCATTTTGGAAGAAAAGGAGCTTTGAAGATTTGCATATCGAAACTCTGTTGGAATCTCGTCAGGATATCATCTGGAACACACTCGTCATATATCTGCGATGAGGAACACACTATTTGAGTACCGAAATCCCTTTTTTGATGATCAAGCTGCATATAAGCCTTTCATCAAAGAACAAGCTATTTAACTCCGGAGGCCCTTTAGTAAGGAACTAGAACGAGTCAGTATACTTTTAGTAGAAAATCAAATGACTTCTCATATTCAGAAATTGTACCCATTCTCAATTGATATATACTTCATTGTAACTGATACTTTTAATTTAATATATACACTTCAAATTTTGTAATAATAAATTTTCAATATTTTGAAAAAAAAAATTATAAGTTTCGAAGTTTTTTTTTTTTTTGAAGTAACTATTGAGGTGACCGACCTCAAGGCTCAAGCCCCGAGCCCCAAGGAGAAGGATACGGAGCCGGTTCATTTTAGCAATGCGTGCGCTTGGTTGACCAATGTATAAGAGGGTATAAAACTCCGCGATCTTCATCATTTCTTGCTTTCTTATGTTAATCACGCTTTACTTTCTTTAAACAAAGAGTTACTCCCTCTGTCCCATTTTGCATGTCTTACTTTCCTTTTTAGTTTGTCCCAAAATGTTGTCCTCTTTCTAAAATTGAACATCACCATCATTCTACTTTTTCTCAAATTACCCTTATGACTTTTACTTTTATTTCCAAAAGTGAAAAAGTGGAGGGCATAATTGGAAAATACATAGCATTTACTTTAATTCCTTAAAAAGCGTGCAAAAAGCAAATGAGACAACCAATTCGGGACGGAGGGAGTATTATATAACTATAAATCTAGAAAAAGAGCTGTACAAATACCAAAGCTCAAAATCCCAGACCTAATTGTTGCTATAAATTACCAAGAACCTCATCATTCTTGATTTCTTGTTTATAGCGCTAATTATTCTTCTGTAATGCTGTTGATGACTTGATGGTGTCATATTGCAGCCAACCATAAAGTTCACAGCTTTAGAATATCGAAGACAAAAAGAAAAAGGGAAACTTTTTTGGTTCTTCTTTCTTGCTTCCCCGCATTGAAGTCTGAAGAAGAGTTTGAGAGAGAGAGGATGGGGTGTTGAGTGGGAGGAGAGAGATGGCCGGAGGAGCTGAGTGGATCGGTGGAGGAGGGTATATTGTGAGAGGGAAATGGTGTTCATACAAGCGGACCACAATAATTCTGTGCTCAATCAACATTCTTGTTGCTCTCTATGTGCTTCACTCTCTCTATACTTCACTCTACATGTACCCCTATAATGATTCCCAGACTGGTAAGTGGATTCACCTCTCAAGTCTCAAGTTTTAGTACTTTTCTGGGTGACCCATTTCCTGATTTTGGTTCTTGTGTGGAACCCTTTGAGCAAAATCTTCATTTTTGAGCAGTTGATTGGTGGATTTGTTAATTGGTTTGATGTCTGCAGCTTCTAGGTATACCCCACAGCAGATAAGGCAAATGGAAGAGTCTATTCGAATTCGAAAAGAATCTGAACCTACAGAGCTTATTAAGTTGGTGAGATTTAAGTGTTTGTAGGTTAGGGGTTTTTGTTAACCATGTCCTGTAGATGCTATTAGTATTAGTTTGATAGATTTCTGGTGATTCTTGAAGTTATTTCATCACAATTTTGAGTGACAAGGAAAAACCCGCACCCGTCTTGTGACTCTAACCGACAAAGGACTACTAGAAGGTAAACTAGCTTAGGTTACCGGCTCAAACCAAGAAGGCCAATAGGCCGTTCTGGCTGGGAGTCGAACTTGTAACCTTGTGGTTACTAAGTCAACACGGCACACAAACTTGGCCCCCAGGGTTGTCCCGTTTCGTGCAATTTTAGTGCTAGTGCTTGATGACAGTTGCATTGTCTTTGCTTGAAGGTAAACCAAATAAAGAACGAATTTTTGATGGAGCAAGAGCGTGTTGAAGTATCAGAGCCCATGAAACTGAAGATAGCAGATGAGGTAATAGCAACTTTAAAAGGCTTGGATGGCAGCGCAAATGCAACTGTGAAGCGAGGTGAGTGCACCTTCATTTCATAATTCGGCACTGATATTTCCTTCCGCTGAAGAATTATTAATTGCGGGTTTTCAGTTCTTATGCTTAAGCCTCTAAGGATACTTCTTGCTTTAAACTATTGTTCTTAATTCTTATACATATGTTGTCTACACTGCACTGGATGGCTGCAAAGTATACTTCTTTATAAGTTTGACAAGTGAAAGATTTAATTAAATATAAGTATTCCTAGGTCTATTGTCTAAGGATTTTTCGTTGAAATAAAAGTTGCTTGATTCTTGTAATAACTTTTTAAGGTTTCTTATCTATTTCAATACTCCTATGATACTTCAGGTTTGTTTAGCTGTCTTTGATTTATAACATTTGCTGTCTTGGATTTTGAATGAGCAGAGGCGGTTGAAAACTGGCGGAAGGAAACATTAAAAGAAGCGAAGAAAGTTATGCGTGGGAAGACCTCAAATTACAGTATCACACCTGTGGAAGCCGGTATAGATCTTTTTGTTTTTCTTTGTGTTTTGGTGAAACAATATGGATACAAGTTCGAATATATATTGTATAGCCAAATTAGGTCACGAAAATCTCTATAAAGTAACCTATAGTAATTGTTAATAAACCACATAATGTGTACCAAAAGGAAAGTACAACGCACAAGGGGTTAAGGATATGATAAATTTACGTAAATTAAGGCATCCGCCCTTATTTCGTTAGAGTACTCTTTGTTTATAGGTGTACTTGCGAGAGCTTTGGAGACTGATTGGTTTCAGCTATCCGATGAAATTGGCCTTTGGATACCCGTTGAGGTCGTTCACGAGGAACATGATGACAAACCTGAGGGAGCGGAATTTGGTAATGACAATTTTTTTTTGAGTACTACTGACTCTGTTACAATGTAGTATCTGTTCATAACTATTTTCTCAACCTACTGAAACACAAAGAGTCAATAGTCCGTCTCCACTGGGACTCGAACCCACAACCTCCCACATACGGGAGCAACTTGGTGCCAGTGGACCGCAAGCCATTGGCACATTTATTCCTTTTTTGTCGAAAGGAGAAAAAAGTGAAGATTTTTGGGTCTTGACATTGGTCGATATTTTACTGAGGTGAACTTTTTCTTCAGAAATTGAAACGGTAGCAGGCAAACCGCTCCCTCCCGAATGTCGTGCTGAACTTCATACGGATTATGATGGTGATGCCGTGAGATGGGGCCTTACCCACCATAAAGAATCTGCATACGACTGTTGTATGGCATGTTTGGATCAAGCCAAGCATGCTAAACCGGGTCAGAAGAAATGCAACGTGTGGGTTTACTGCCCATCCGGGACGGGATGCTACTCCCCAGATAAATACGAACATAAAATCCACGAATGCTGGCTGAAATACGTAAGTTCTGGCCATTTCACAAAGACGGTATTTGTTTTGCTCGTTTCATGTTAGACTAAATCTGTTTTCGTATTGGCAAATGCAGTCCGAGAAGCCCAGATTGAATTTTAAGGACCAGTATTCTGAATCATATAGAAACGCCCACCCAAACGCGCCATTAATCGTTCCATGGATGTCTGGAGTCGTCACTGTATCATAAGGTACTTGCTATTGGAAGAACAACCATTTTGATCCTCGAGGAATGTTGCGAGGACGACATAGGTAGGCAATACGTATCTAGATAACGGCATTCGATTCGATTAGATTCTCTTGGCTTTGAGCTCCAAAGGATGACTTCTTGTTTGTTGGAGGATAGATCATTCAAACTTTTGTTGGGTTCTGGTGGTTTAGAAGCAAAACTTCAGTGCTTAGAGGGGTGAAAGAAACATTCAAAAACCTTCTTCTCATGAATGTAATCATAATCTGAGAATTGTTGTTACATTATTATTTAAGTTGTCCAAATTTCTAGCTTGCAATGCTCATACTAGGTTATATTTCAACCTAATTATTGTTTATGAGTGACGAGAAAAACGCGTAGTCACTAGCTGAGGATGTAGCTCACAAACCACACTAAAAAGTTGCGATCTATTCGATTGAGAATGTGTTGGTGAGAATTATGCTCCATCTACTTGACCACTCTCCTTTTGGAGCATATTTCAACCCTTATTTAAGTCGTACTTTAGATATTTAAAAAAAAAAAAAAGATAATATAAACAAATTATAAAAGTTATCTAGTATTAGCTTTTTGTTTATTAAGCGGTCTGCGAAGAAAGTTGTTTATCTGTTAGCTCGAAAAGTCTTGTTTAAGTCTGACTTATAGACTATTTTTTGGTCCGTTTTCTTTTGTTGTTTGCGCTCTTCAGCTTGACTCTTCCTAATGAATGCTTTTCGTTTTGTCCCCCCAAAAAAAAATTATAAAAGTTAAAGAGATAGTTTGACATTTGAAACAAATTTGGGGTAAATATATAGGGGTGTGTAAAGTTTGATTAATTTTTGATTAACGGATCGAATCGAAAAAATTTAGTTAATGTTATAAATAAAACTTATGGTGGACATTAATATAGTAGCTTTGTAACGTCTGTAACGGATGTAATTATCCTTCATTATTGTATGCCTTTAGTGTATCTTGTATATATATCATTGTACTATGATGGATGATGATGAATGGATCTATCCTCCTTTTCTCCCTCATCTTTCTACTCTTATTCTCGTTCTTACTGTTCTTCACGAGCTAAAGGCCTGCAAACTAACTTGCAATACAACACGTTATCAGCACGCTCGATACACTCTGGTGAACGGTAATTTTATAAATTTTTTTTATGCCTAAAATCGCACATATGTTTTATGCATTTGTGAATATGTGGTTTTTGACATATGATTATCTTACTGGTAGTATTCATATAGATGCATCAATAACATTTATTTGTGAACTTATATCTTTTGTTATTATTGGTATACTTTGATACTTTGATAGTATATTTTGCATAACCATTTCCAGTATGCATTTCCAGTATATATATATATATATATATATATATATATATATATATATATATATATATATTTTCCATACGAATATACATTCCAATATGCATGATATACATATGTTTTCCGGATTTTTTTTCTTGTTTATAATATATACTGTGTACAAAACAAAATCAATCAAAAACTAAACCTGTATCTGCGATTTGCGGAAGATTATCCCGATCTACAATCCTTCGTACGGCGAAGGCGTTTTTTTTTTCGAAACCCAACGGCGGTGACACCGGTTCAAACGCCAGCAAGGGTGGTCTTTGGCATTTGAGGTCTTCATCTTCTAAAATGGAAGTACGACCGGAATTCTAGCTATGGCGGCTCCGATCTGCCGGTTGGACGAGGCCTGTGCCTCGGGCGACGATGGCACCGGCGGCTGTATGCGTCGACGATCGACGCGGCGGCGCTGCTCCAGCGATGGAGGCGGCTCTGATGGCGAACGCCCCCTTCCCCTCCTCCAGCGGCAGAGGTGGCGGCTACGGGCAGCCGAAGATGGTGGCCGCGTTACTGATGATCGGCGGTGGTCTGCGACATTTCTGGAAATAAAAACGCAATCGGGCAATAAATCTCCAAGCGTGGCCTGTAGCGGAGGTCTCTTAAAACCGTTTGCGGTGTTTTTAAGTTTAATAAAAAAAAAAACGCCAGAAGCGTTATTTTTTGGTTGGGAGTGCTGACTTTGACTTACGGTTCTCTTATTTAAGTAACCTATTATATATTTATTGGACCATTTTTTATTTGAATGGACTTAGGATTATTTTTTATTTGGGCCATTTTTATACTCACCCAAGCCCAGTATTTTAGATAATTTATTTCTTTACATAAAATCCTAAGTCTCATATTTCTTTTATAAAATATGTTTTTCCTTGGTCCTCATTAAAACTATTTTCGGTAGAAAATAGTTGCTCTTGAAAAAAGAAAATTCACTGAGCTCGCACTCAATGGAAGAAATTTCTTTATTTGGGTGTTTGATGTCGGAATATATCTTGCATCTATAAAACTGCCAAACACCATCAAAGAGGCATCTACGAGTATTGAGGCCCAGAAGGCAATACCGCTCATTTTTCTTCGTCACCACCTTAACCATGACCTTATACAATGAATATTCAATCTCTATTCCATGCCTTCGAGCATGCTTCTGCTTGAACGATTCTTTCATATCTGAATGCAAATATACCATATAGTGGATCGTTCTTAAGCATTATCTTGATACCCATTTTTTCTCTCAATTATATTGTGGGCTGTTTTTGGAATAATAAAATATTCCTAATAATTCTTGTAGCTTATGCCATATGCTTTTGCATCCCGTCGATGCGCATGCATAGAATTAGAGAGCTTAATTAAAATACATAATATTGTGACACTTTCTTGATGTGATCACCAAATACATTGTATGGTCGGTGCACTTGTTGTCAAGTGTCAAATTTTTGTTGTGTCACAAATTGCTATCTCATGCCTTACAGGGATGTGAGTCATCACAAAAGAGCATTTACTGATTTGCTCTTGATGGTAGCAATTGTTTGCTATACGCCATATATTTTAAGATTTATTATAAATCTTACTAGAAGCTTTGCCCGGATGGCAAATCAAAGCCACTGTTTATTATGGGACAATCCCTGAAGGATCGTTTTAATCAACAAGTGGTCATAGTCTGAATTCTAAATATAGTTTTGCCTAGAAGGTAAATCAAGAGCACTATTTTTATTTGTCACCCGTTATCTTGCCCCAACCCTCGATTATAGATATTTGATCTAAAAGGATTTATAGACCCTAAGTCAATCCCTGAAGGATATTTGGTGTATGCGGGTCTTATTGTCAATGGTCGTATTGTACTCCAGTAGTAGTACATGACAAAATTATGCTAAGTGTTTGGTCATTGGGCTATTTTTTAATAAAGTCTGAAAGACTCTGAATGTGGATTGATCTTTAAGGTGACTAATGACTCATGAATGAAGTTTGCAACTTCTATTTCTAATGTTATGCTACTCTCCAAAAGTCAATATTGACTCACATCATGTTGGTTTGCCTGAAGCAAACAAGTTGTGATTTTTTTTACACATAGTAATCACTGCCTAAAAATTCTGACCGGCGCAGTTTGAAAATTAAATTCATGAAAAATACTTGTTGAACTCCTTTTGGCATGAAATTTTTTTCTGGAGAACCTAGACTCGTGATATTTGATGTCTGTAAAAATATTTTGTTAAAAATATGCTTTGGTTATTCCAGAAAAATTTGTAAAGTTTTGGCAGTGTGCTGCCAATTATTTTTCTGCCTGGAGCAATGTTGTGAAAAATTTCAGAAAAAATACTTTCACACCTTGGATTGACATGAAAATTTTTATGTACGTTCTAGACTTACTGAACTACATATCTGCCAAATTTTGTGTCAAAATGTGTTACCTTTTTCCCCCAGAAGATTCTGCAATCCAGGTCAAAATTATGAAAATTATATCTTGCTATTTTGTGATGTTTTCATGCTGAGATATGAAACTATGAAATAAAATGAGAGTTTGCTTGGAAAAGTGCTGTTTTTGACGCCCCGAAATAGGAATGAATGGGCCCGGCAGCGAACATGTGTTCATTATTATTCGGCGAACGGTACTTCTCTCATTTTTCTAATTTATGAATTAATAAACAATATCTCTTGTCATGTCATGCCTTGTGTGTACCAAACATGATATTCTTTATTTAATTGATATGCATGACTCAATTGAGTGTTTGGTGTCAAAGACATAAGGGACAATTATATCACATGTTGCATGTGCTTCTCTTTAATTGACAACATTTAGCATATAATCTCTTGATTATGTTCACATAAGAGATTTTGTTATTTATCTTGTTGGCAATTTATGATTTGTTATAGGCCATAGCTATTGAGATTTATCACCCAACTTATAAGTGGGAAAATAGCATGAATTCTCAATATGGTTAGGTTGCACCTGTCGTTGCTAAACCTTAGCTTGCATGTGATAATAGTTAAAGGCTATGACATATTTACAGTGCTAGTTTCGGCTATAGAAACTTTTTGACATGAGATTTGGGCATATGATATTTAAATTTATAGCCCTCATTATTTTGTGTATTTATTTGTCCAGAAGGTAGATTAAGGATTTTAATTCTCTAAGTCATCCTGTTTAGGATGAATCTTGACAATGAATTCTTGACCAAAAATGGTCAACCTATCCCATCAATCCTCGAAGGATTGTTTGACGTTACTATGAGTCAAATTCTTTTTTATCCAAGTCTAACTCAATGCATATCACAAATCAATCCCTCAAGGATTGCTATACCCCCTTTTTCACCTAGTACGTGATTTCAGAAGTAACATTTTCCTATCTGCGTTATTTTATTTGCGCAGTCTATTTTATATCACCACCACAACGTACCTCTAAAAGGGCTATCAAAGAAACCTCCGTCTATTGATTAAATACAGAAAGCCCATGATAGGGGATCAATACATATAATTGGGTACGTTGACTGCATTCCTAATGAAGATTGTTTCTCGGCATTAGGGGGAGATAATATACTACTCCGTAGCTTTTTGGAATGCCAAGAAAATTCATAAGGATAAAAACATCTTCATTATTTAAATCCATGTACTAGTTAGATTGAACTGGAAGTTCAAAAGATAATCTATTTGCGATTTTAGCAAATAATCTGCCGAATACATCTATTGATCATAATGATCATAAAAGAAGTGACTAGGTCCTATATCCTTGGACCAAACATATCTATCGATACTCCTTGACACCAGAAGTGTAGGAGACCTATCGGTGAAAGAGATATGAATCATAATACTAGATCTAGTAAAGAAATATTGTCACTCTTGAAATAGTTTGAATAATTATGTCCTGCAGACGTTCGTCCAGATGACGAAAAACCCTGGTAAGACTTATAGGTGCACCAAACAAACGTAATACTAGGGATGCGGAACGACCAGATCAAAATATCTTTGGGAAATGTTTAGAATCTGGTTGTTTTAGAAATTGCCATTACTTTTACAAATATGGGAGTTTTACAAAAAAGTTATAGTTGTCGACAACACAATTGCTATTACAAATTGCTCGTTATATAATCTGGATCCAGAGTTAAGCACCAGAAGTGCCATGACTATTTAATATATAAAGGAGCAATTAAGGCATAGCTCGACTCGCTAAAATGAATAAATTCTCTTTATAACAATACACCATTTGAGTGTTAACCCTGAAGGTTACAAATGGGTGTGTGCATGAAAGAGAAATAAGAATAATGAGGTGATAAAGCGAATTTGTAGCCTATGGGTTCACGCAGAGACCCTTAATTGATTTTAATCAAATATAATCTCCCACGGTAAATGGCATTAAGTTCCGCTACATAATACAATTGGCAGAATAATAAATTTAGATATGCAGTTAAATTTATCTTGAGAAATCCCTGATGGATTCATAATTCTCATTTTTAAGTATTATTATGTGTCATTATCTACTCTTTAAAAGGGTTGCGAATGGAGTTAATATCCTCATTGAAGGAATAATATGTACCATTGTGTGCTCGATAAAGGGTTGATAATGAACTTATTTATTATTTATTATCTCAGTCAAGATTGATGGTGTAAACATCAATGAAAGATATAAAGAGCTTGATGATGTCAGTTCATGTTTAAAGACTGAGACTTTTGAAACAAAAAGCTTGTGAAAGCTATAAGTATTATCTTGACTTGAAGATCGAGTTTTTCTTTACAGTTTTTTTTATATACACCAGTCAGCCTACATCTAAAAATGCTTTTTCATATGTCTATATGCATATAAGTGTCATGTTTTTATCAAACTAAAGGTTGCCTAATAATCTCTTGAAGTAGATAAGGAACCTTTTTGGACTCGAAGTCCCTTACTTCATTATCATTGGAGCACCATTATAGAACCAGAAGTTCCATAACCGCAACATATTTGCGATAAAATTGCTAGCAAAATCTAGTGCTCCCCCTACAAATGAAGTACTTGAATAATGATTAACATATCCTCCGGTATCTTCGAGATACAAAGACATGACATTTATGTAAGAAACCATGATACGGTTTTAATAGGCTACTTGGGTACTGGCTGTTTTGTTTGATCCCCGCAATGCCAAGTCCAAACTGGTTATACAATGAATTTCCCTAAATGTTCAAAATGAGGACAATAACACTTGTGTTGCACAAATGTTATATTAGCTCTAGAAGAGCCATAAGATTATTGTACACTACTCTAAGTGACAATCCAGAAGATTTGTCCAATCCATCTCTTCAAAATTTGAAATATATGTAGAACTTGAAGATTGTTATCTTCAGGGGGAGACTGGAAGTACATTTACTCGAATCAATCCGGAAGATTGAACATTGAACGTAAAATCCTGAAGATTAAGTCATAAAAGACTAACAATTGCGCACTATTTGCAACACATAAATACATAAATATCATGTACTTTTTTCCTCACTAGTTTTCTCCCATTGGGTTTTCTAGTGTGGTTTTTAACAAGGCATGAGTATGATATAGTAATGACAATGAGGAAAAGTTGCAAAATAATTGCTTAAATGGACAAACCCCAAAATCCTGAAGATTATGCGGTTTGCGCCCTGAAGGCTTATGGTTGTACTCTTTTTCCCTTAACTAAGTTTTTCCCACAGGGTTTTCTTAAGTTAAGGTTTTTAATGAGGCGACCAAATACAATATATGTTTTTATATATATCATGTACTCTTTTCTTCAACTAGGTTTTTCCCACGTGGTTTTCCTAGTGAAGTTTTTAATGAGGCATGAATATATTTTCTATTGTACTCTTTTCTTGTCTAGGTTTTTCCCACAGGGTTTTCCTAGAAAGTTTTTAATGAGGCAAGATCATGATCAAATAATGTCCAAGGGGGAGTGTTATAAATAAAACTTATGGTGGACATTAATATAGTAGCTTTGTAACGTCTGTAACGGATGTAATTATCCTTCATTATTGTATGCCTTTAGTGTATCTTGTATATATATCATTGTACTATGATGGATGATGATGAATGGATCTATCCTCCTTTTCTCCCTCATCTTTCTACTCTTATTATCGTTCTTACTGTTCTTCACGAGCTAAAGGCCTGCAAACTAACTTGCAATACAACAGTTAATTATTTTTTAACTGAACTTGTTCGATTTCGTTGATGGTCAGTTAATCATTATTTCGGTTCGAAACTACCGGTTAACCGAACTTTTAAATAAATAAATAGAATCTAAATTCCCTAAAACTAAAGTCTAAAACCAAATCTGAAATCCCTAACCATTTCAGCCCTGCCGCCCTCCGACTCCAACCTCCGTCTACTCCGACCTGGAAAGCTCCGTGTCGGCGTCTCCTCTGTCTACTCCAAGGCATCTTGTCTGACCTCCACCGGACCACCGCTCCAGTCTCTTATCTCCTCCGATCTCCCCACCGAACCGCGACTCCAGTCTCTTGACTCTCAGAGGTGCTTGATTATTAAACCTGATTGGATATCTTGGAATACTGTAAAATAATAGGTTGGTTTTGGGGACTGTGGTAATTGATGATCAGTAACCTTTTAGCCTTAGATAAGTTTTCATAACTATCTTGAGTAAACAACATAGTTGAGGTCTCTGCATTGTTATCTAAGATATCTTCCCATTAATGCAATTAATGAATTGTTGGAAGATTTAGCTCTATAATTATAGTCCCAATTTACAAATAAAGAATAGTGCTTCATAATATCTAATCATAACTCGATCCTCATTATCTTTTCCCTTTCTCCCTGTTTAATTCATGCTTCTTTTTCTTTAATTTTGTATAATTATTTGTGAAGGCTTTCTTGGGATCAATAATTTTCCTATAGTATTTTGAGCTTGTTATATTCTTGTTGAACTTCAAATCTTAACTAGTTAAATTTACAGAAATGATTCAGAGGAAGAAAGACAATTAGAGTTGAACAGTCCAGACTGCGTGAATCATTTTTCAATAGTTAACCGAAAAAAATTTTGGTTCGGTTAATTCGAAAATAAAAAGTTCGGTTAACGGTTAAAGCTTTAAAATTTTCGGTTAATTCGGTTCGGTTAACCGAATGCACACCCCTATAAATATATATATTTACTGAAATCTCAACCCTTTCCGGCCTCCTCCAGTCCTCTGCATCTCCGACTCAGGTGACCTTACTCTCTTCCCTTTTTTTTTTTTTTTTTTTTTTTTTTTTTTTTTTTTTCAATTTCTAGTACTGTTCGTTCTTCCGAATTTTCATTGTATAGTTAAAGATGGAAAAAGACAGAAATTTTGAGGTTCATATGGTTTATGTTAAGGAATATATATTTGATATATAGAATCTCTATATATTAGGCAGTTTAGGGTTTTAGGTAGGTAGGACATATGGAAACTTGTTTCCTATTCGTAGTTTTTTAGTACCTATTTATAGGACTCTGTATTTTCTATTCCTATGAGAGTTTGATATAATATATGACAGCACATTAGAAACTCTCTCTCTTCACTTTCGTAACATGGTATCTGAGCCTTTACGATAAATTTTTTTTCCGCTCTGTTGTCGTCACGTTTTGACTAGCGCGTGAGCCTCACGTGCCGCCGGCGCGTGAGGCTCCTCCAATGATTGAAAAACGTTTTGGTCAACTTGTTCCTGGGTAGCCTAAGTCTGTTTGTCTTGGTTCTGGACTTAGTTTGGACTATTGCCTTTTGTTCTACGGTCAGTTTGTCTCGTTTTGTGTTTTAGTGCTGTCTCGTTTTGTGTTTTGGTGTTAGTCTCCTTTTTTTATGCTCTTATGCTCGCTAATTGGAGCATGCTTCCCTTTTGTTAGTCAAGATACTTCCCTTTTGCTAGTAAAGAATTTGTGTCCTCCGGTTTGGAGTTTGTCTTCTTTACTTTGTGTGTCCAAGCTTGTTCGGTCCACTTTTGGTTCACCCGGAGTTGCGGTATTGGTGGAGTCCAAGCTTCTGGTTCAGGGGAGGGTTCAATCCCAAGCTTGTTCGGTCCACCACGTTGAGTTCACCCAACTGTCCGTAGGTATTGGTGGCGTTCACATCTTTCGTTTCAGGGGGAGTATCCAATTTCAAGCTTGTTCGGTCACTTTGTGTTCACCCATTGTTCGTGGGATTCGTGGCGTTCAAAGCTTTCGTTGGAGGGGGAGTATGAGTATCCAATCTCAAGTTTGTTCGGTCTTTGGTCAAAGGAGTGTCCTAAATGGACTTGAGTTATTAGTTATTTAGTTATTTTGGGTTATCACTCATTTGTGTAACAAGTTGGGCATTATTAAAATACATGCTCCAACTTGAGGGGGAGTGTTAAAGGAATATATATTTGATATATAGAATCTCTATATATTAGGCAGTTTAGGGTTTTAGGCAGGTAGGACATATGGAAACTTGTTTCCTATTCGTAGTTTTCTAGTACCTATTTATAGGACTCTGTATTTTCTATTCCTATGAGAGTTTGATATAATATATGACAGCACATTAGAAACTCTCTCTCTTCACTTTCGTAACAAAGGTTAATACCTAATTTCAAGCTAATTTATAAATCAGTTCTTTGTATATGTAATCTGTTTAGCTGCAATGGTAGATTGTTAAGTCCTTCACGATATGTTAATTATAATTATCAGAGGCTTATAGTGTCCTTTGCAATCAGCTTCTGGACTGCAGGGAAAATTATTCATGTTGGAGGATAATTAGGGTTAGTTTTGTGGATTCTAATGTATAAGAATTTATCTTCAAATAAATTTTGTTATTTTTGTGTCATTTTTCCTTTCATCAAAGAGGCTATGGAATTGTGTGTAGTAATGCCTTTGGGAGAGCTGCCCGAAATGGGGTCTGATAGGCTAGGTTGGATTAGTCTCAATCTTGCAAGATGCGGATACTAGTGTAGTATTGAAATGTAACTAGTAATTTGCTGTCCTCGGTTAAATGCAATGGGGTAATGAGATTGAGCTATTAAATTTTTTTGATTAAATGGATTTTATGCTCTATTAATACTTCAGGCTTTCAGCTTAGCCTAGGAATCTGCCAATTTAACTATGGTAGTTTACTAGAAGCGTAATGGAGTTGCTTCGGGTAGATTTCTAAAATTTGATGCTTAAGAGAACCCGAGGTTTTTTTGCACGGTGTGACCAGAAATGTGATTACTTGAGGGGAAGTAGCAGATAGGGAGAAGCATATGAATCTGCACTAGCTGCATTATTGTGAATATTTGTCATCCATCTCAAACTAATCTTACCTTCTTTTATGTTTTTTTTGTCCCAACGGTTTTTTGCTACTAATTTGTTTATTTATTCATAAATTTACATAGGCAGGCATCAACCATGATTTTGAATGGCAACGCTGTTCATAAATCCCACTATGACATCCTTGGTGTCGAGGAAGACGCAAACTATGAAGATATTCGTGCAGTTTATCGATCTGCCATCCTTAGTTTCCATCCTGATAAACTGCACAGTGCTTCGGACTCATCCCCTTCCAAGCGTGAGACAGAGAACAGGTTCTTAGAGATACAAAAGGCTTGGGAAATCCTTAGTGATCAAAGATCACGCACAATCTATGATAACGAGTTGCGTAGTTTGAGACAAGATGCAGCAACCTCTGAAGACATTGGCGTAGATGATCTCAAAATTGAAGCTGCCGGTGATGTTCTTGAGCTCTCTTACCCCTGTAGGTGTGGCGACTTCTACGTGATCGATTCTTTGGATTTGGCAGATATAGGATGTCCAGTGGTGAGGGATGGAAAAGAAATCTTTATAGAAACATCAAAAGATTTGCCAGCATCTGTTGTTCTTCCCTGTGGTTCCTGCTCTCTCAAAGTTCGCTTATTGATAAATCCAAACACCAGGCTTGAGTTATAGATGATACACATTTCTGAACCTTTCAAAATGGCACATTCATCTTTTAGAAAGAGTTATTTATCACTGAGGAGCATTTTTTAGAGCACACAACTATACTTTTGTATTACATTTAGCAAGTTTCACTTTATTTTTTTGTTTTGTTTTTTTTTTTTTTTTTTGGTGGCAAGAGAAACCTGCAACTAACACCCAAGAGTGTATAGTGGGTAAATTCCGTTCTTGTGTAATAGTCTGCAAACTACTCAAGAAAGGTAAATCGCATTAGGACAACCCTGTATGAATCAGTTTGAGAAAGTGTTGGCAAAAATTGAATTTTGTGTAATAGTCTGCAAACTACTCAAGAAAGGTAAATCGCATTAGAACAACTCTGTATGAATCAGTTTGAGAAAGTGTTGGCAAGAATTGAATTTTGTGTAATAGTATGCAAACTACTCAAGAAAGGTAAATCGCATTAGGACAACCCAGTATGAATCAGTTTGAAAAAGTGTTGGCAAGAATTGAATTAGGGTCATGCTATGCTTACTCAATCACTCCTCTCATGGCCTAACAAAGAAATATATATTTTTTGGGTGTATGGATTATGTTGATTTGTTCTTAAACATGGTATACAATGTTGATGAATGATGATCATGGTATACAATGTTGATGAATGATGATAAAGAGTATCTTTTTAAGTCTTTGGTTGGGAGGAATATATCTTTCAAAGCACCAGTAACAAGCAAAACAAAGCCTTACATTAACAGAACATTTGCTACATCCAAGTGTCAGGCAACACAAAATTTGGGCAAGAATTATTTAAAATCCAAAAGATGACAAATGTTTTATCCAGATGGGAAATTATCGCCATTATTATTATTATCTGCAAGCTGTTCTAATGTCCGATTTCTTCAAATTTGCAAGAAGCTGATTGCAACAGAACAAATTACAGCAACCAGTTGGCTCGAGAACTGAATGGACTTCAAAACATGGTCTTGGTCATCTTTCAAGATTTACGCTCTTTGCTCAACATAAGAACCAGCAAGTCCAGATGTTCCAAGAACCGAAACCTGTAAAGTATGACGCAGATCAGTTAGACAGCGTAATAAAGGTCTCATGTTTTGAGGATTCCTAGAACCAGAGAAATCGCAAGAAGCAACACCTGTTTCAGAAGTTCTTAGCAAATAAAAGTATCTGAGTTTAGTTTCTTTTAGAGTAATTGTGATCGCATTGTTTGAAGTTGCTGATATTCCTTTGTGTTCTTTTTTTCTGTTAAATTTTCCTTCTAGAAGTCTCTAGTAACATCTACTATTTAATCAAAATTCAGCATTTCAATGAGAGAGATGGAACGTGTAATCTTGCATATACTGCTTTTTGAAAAGAGTCCATCTTAAAAGTCTGAAAATGTGAAATGAACTTGCTACTAAGATAAACGTACCTTTCCCCAGTCAGAATGTAGGCCACTGCACCTCATCTTCAAGAATATCATCCTACCTCCTAGTTCGGTCTCAACTTTCTTCTTCAAATATCCCTCCTCGGGCCCAAAGGAATTCAAATATGTATTATAGCGTTGGAAGATTGTATCCAGTGCATTAGCCATATGTTTTGGCATAGGCTTCACATTCTGCCACAGATACAGATTATTAGAAAGTAATTCCACGAGAATGCACACAAAGTATTGACTTACTCAAAACTCTTGTTACCTCGCCACTTAACCCAATAGAATCGTCAATTGCCATTTTCAAGTTTGTGAGAATCCCAATGAATTCCTCAATGGCTTCTGCTGCGCGGAAAACATTAGCCAAGGCCTCCTGGCCAGCCTTGTCATCAGTACTTTTGGATAATGCCTTCTTCGTTTCATCGATAACAGCTTCTGGAATCTCATCCCAGCTTGCAGCCATTAAGTCTTTAAATGCACACCTGATTTCTTCATCTTGCACATTGGGCATGTGGGCCACATCCTCGCTGAAAGAACGTACACTTCCCAATCCCAATGAAAATGGATGAAGGCATTCTACAGCAAACAAACCACAAGGGTAAAGAAAAGAGACCTTGAAGCCCGATAAGAGGAAAACAAAGAACAAAAGGAAAACCCAAACACAAGATGCTGGTGCCATCACCTTGAATCAGTTAAGCACATCAATGCTATGTTTGGATAGGTGGAAAATAGGAGGAACAAGATGCAGTGCAAAATTTTAACACTTGTACCATGAGAATTCCATAGTTTTTTGGAAAAAATAAGAAAATAGGAAATAAAAAATAAAGTTTTCTATTCAAAATGAATTATCTTCTTAATTGGAAAACAGAAAATAGAAAACACTTTTTTTTTTTGTAATATATGGGAAAGTAAACAAACTCAAGGGCTACATAAGTATGGATCTTGCCAATCCAAATGTGTTGGCCAGGGCCCAGGAGTAACGCAGTAATGGGAAACTTCTCACTTGCTCTCATCTAAATGCACTACTTCTATTTCTCACTGCTCTCTCTACCTTTCCTCTCATTTAAATGTAAACTTTCTCCATTTTCCTTCCCTCGTATTTTCTCTCCTAACTACCCAAACATAGATAAAGGTTCACCAATTAAAGAAGAAAATGATGTCACCAAGGAACACTTCTAAACAGAACAAAGTGGTTGTGATGTAATAAATTTTTGTCTCAAGCACATTCTTTTTTGAGCTCTTAACCTTTATTGAGTTGATTGTGATTTATCTTTTAGCCCCCAATATTATAGGTTAGCTCACTCAATACTAACACTAATATGAATATGAGGTACCAATAATGACCAGCACAACTCATCGCATATCCTGCACTCCTGCTGATTCCACAATAGAAATAACTCAAATAAGCAACAAAATAGCACAACAAATTGGTCGGGCCGTTGGCTTGGTAAACCCAAGGTTCCAAGCCTATTGGCCAACCGGTGACCTAAGGACAACCTAGGCTGGTTTAACTCCTTTAGGCCCTTTACATGCTAGGGTTTGAGTGTTTGACTAGTTCTGGTATGCTTAAACCCATCATTAACCTAATTCCAAATGCATATCAACAAGGCACTAAAAGCCATGAAAGCAAAGAAACAAGATGGGGAGAACTCAATACAAATGCATAAATCATAAAAATCCAATCTTTTTTTTTTTTTTTTTTATCTTTCTATGCTCGCCTACTCTCAATTGGTAATGGGTAAATTAAAAATCCCAGAAATAGAACCAGACTGATTTTCAATGGCGTAAATTACATTTCATAATTATTAGTGTAAATCAATGGAATCGATCATCAATTTAAGATCAATACACTCACGCGCATAAACACTGTATCATATAGCGAATGTATATACGAGAGGATTAGGGCAGGGGGTACCTGGATTAACAGATTTTGGAGAATCCACAAAAGAAGGGGGGGAGATATGAAGGTGGCGGAAAGCTTGGTGGTTGGCTGTGGCCGTGGCGGCGAGGGCGGCTGTATAACTGGGGAAAACGGAAGATCTGCGGTGAAAACATCGGCATAGCGATCTCATTAGCATCATCTTCTCCATCCCTCTTTTCACCTTTCCCTTTTCCTGCTTCTCTGTTTCAAGTTTTGGAGCTCCGAATCTCCGATGACCCAGATTACACCTTCCTGTGTTTGGTTACGTTAATCACTGACTGGTACAGCGTGTTTTTATATGGAGATTGGGGGTTAGGGATGTAATTCAATGATTTAAATAATTACGCCATCAAACCAAAGCAAAGCAAAATGTAATTGGGTCTTCGAACTTTAAAAAAAAAAAAAATTATAATTAGGTCTCCAAACAACATAAATTTATGTAATTCAATTTAAAATGACTTATTGACATAATAATATATTGATGTAAAGATACCGAATTAAAACATATTTTTAAAAATTTTATTTTGATAAATTTAAATAAAATAATTATTAAAAAAAAAAAAAAACCACCACACCCCTCCCTTCGTCGCCGACAAAAATGAAGAATCGGTCTTCGTCTTCAACATAAGACGAAGAAAGGTTCTTCATTTTTTGCATGGAGCCAAAAAGATCTCTTCGCCTCCATGAAAGGGACTTCGTTTCCAACCAGGAGACAATGGGACCCACTTCATCTCTGACGAGAGACGAAGAACTTTTATTTATCTTTGGCTATTTCGTATTCTGCGGGAGACAAAGGCAAGGGTGAAGGGTGTGTTTTTTTTTTTTTTTTTTTTTTTTTTCATTTTTAAATAATTATTTTTAAATTCGGTAACCATCACGTCAGCATATTACCAGGTCAACAGATCGTTTTAAGTTGAAGTGCATGAATTTGTGTTGTTCTTTGGAATCTAATTACAGTTTTTTTTTTTTTATTTAGTTTGATGGTTCAATTGCAATTTAATGTGTAATTGAATGATATATTTGACCCTTATTCCTTAAAAAAAAAAAAAAAACATTAGTGCAACTTTGAACCGCAGGATAATATTTTATAAGAAAAATGACCAAATAGGCTATTAAACTTTTGAATTTTAAAAGTTAAAATTAAATACAAGATTTATTATTTAGTGCATTCAAGATGCCGATGGACTCGGGGAAGAAATTTAAATATAAAATACATAAAATCCTAACAATTCATTATTCAAAGATCAATGGATGCGATGACTTGTCCATACGGAATCATAGAAAGGATGAACCACAATGCTTCCCGTGCGGTCACTCATTATTAGATACGCATAAATGCACTACAAAGTGTTCGAAAATGTACAATTAGATATTTAGGTGCGGTGCGGATCGCACAGTGTAATGCATTTCCAAACACTACGTGGTTCATTTTTTTCATACTTAATGGTAATATTTGTTATCCATCTATAGAAAACATGAAATTGTGCATCATTGCGATCTTGTGCGTGATGGACAACACAATTAAGATAATGTCATTTTTGCAACAAGGCCCTAAAGTTGTATACATATGTTATCCATCTATAGAAACACATGAAATTGTGGATCATTGCGATCTTGTGCAGGATGGACAACACAACAAAGACAGTGTCATTTTTGCAACAAGGCCCTAAAGTTGTATACATATGTTATCCATCTATAAAAAACACATGAAATTGTGCATCATTGCGATCTTGTGCAGGATGGACAACACAACAAAGATAATGTCATTTTTGCAATAAGGCCCTAAAGCTGTATACATATATATGTTATCCATCTATAGAAACACATGAAATTGTGCATCATTGTGATCTTGTGCAGGATGGACAACACAACAAAGATAATGTCATTTTTGCAACGAGGCCCTAAAACTGTATACATCTTGTCAGCTAATGGTATTGTCACCAGCCACTGTAGCCCTTCGTCATTAGCCATTAATTTTCGGTAATACTGTCACATACGAGGTTAATTGATTCAATCTAGCTATGTGCTATTACATTCTTTTGTCTTCCTTCTTGTTTGACAAGACTTGTTATTCGTGTCTTGAATCACTCGTGTCCTCGGAAATCAAACTTGAGTGCATCTTGTCCTTTACAAGGGATTTTGCTGTAATTTCGTTTATGAGAATAATTAAGCTTCAACTCTTGTAATTCTTCAACATCAAAATGTTTGGGATGAAGTACGTGCTGAAACATCATGTATTGTATCTTAAGTAGTACTAGGAAGCTTAAAGCATGCATACACTTATTTTTATAACTTTAAAATACGTACTGCTTGGATTTAATTTGCATAATATTAATATATAATATATATGAAAATAACTTTAAAATACTTACTTCGAACTCACAACCTTCTAAATAGAAGTCCAACCCGGATACCATTAGACCACATAGTCTTGGTCTTATTGCTTGGATTTAATTTGCATAATATATAATATATATATTTTATGTTTCATTCTTTTCAAAAGGTCGAACTCCAACCCTAAGTAATAGTTATGCTGTGCAATCGAATGCACTATGCGCATGGTGCATACGATGTAAAATGGTGTCGTTTTGACTAAAAACGTGTGTCTCACTTAAAAAGAAAATGCAGGTTCGATTCTCGGCAATAGCATTATTGTGGATATATAGTTATGAATTTCTGGATATATAGTTATGAATTTCTGGATATTTAGTTCATTCATTGTGGATATTTAGTTCATTCATTCACTGTGGATATATAGTTATGAATTTATGGATATATAGTTATGAATTTCTGGATATATAGTTATGAATTTATGGATATTTAGTTCATTCATTGAAGATATTTACTTCATTCATTCACTGTGGATATATAGTTATGAATTTATGGATATATAGTTATGAATTTATGGATACATAGTTATGAATTTATGGATATATAAAAATGCTATTGCCGGGAATCGAACCTGATTTTTTTTTAAAGTGGGACGCGCGTTTTTTAACCAAAACGACTTCATTCATTCACTGTGGATATATAGTTATGAATTTGTGGATATATAGTTATGAATTTATGGATAAATTTTATGGATATATAAAAATGCTATTGCTAGAAATTGAACCTGATTTCTTTTTTAAGTGGGACATGCGTTTTTTTTTTTTAATAACCAAAACGACGTCGTTTTGCATCGTATGCACCATGCGCATGGTGCATTCGGTTGCACAACATAATTTGCAAACCCTAAGCCCCCCCCCCCCCCCCCCCCCCACACCTCGGCCCGACAGAATATGTTTTCTATTTCATACTTCAACGAATCGAAGATATTTGATTAAATAAATATATTTATCCAGGATAATGTTTATTGCACTTTATAATGAAAACCAAAAGAACTAATTCCACTTTTGGTCCCACGACTGTTGAAATTATATAATTTTTAGTGCACAACTTTAAAAGCTTTTAATTTTAGTGTCTAACTTTGTTATTTTTATCAATTTTGATCCTTTTGGCCAAATTGACAACGAAATATTGCCGAATTTTATATTTTTACGAGTAAAATCGTCACCCCAAAGAAACATATTCAATATCTAAACAAAATCACAGTAAAATCATATCTATATGTGTTTGATTGATGAGAAAAATGGAAAGGATGAGTAGAAACTAGACACAAACATATGATTGTCAACCCATTCTTTTTCTCTTAATATGATTTTTCTTTTGTTTAGATATTGAAGATTTTTCCTTGTGATGATGATTTTGCCTCTAAAATATAAAATTTGGTAACATTTCATCATTAATTTAGCAGTAAGTACCAAAACTGATAAAATAACAAAGATATGTACCACAATTGAAAAATTTTAAAGTTATATATCAAAAGTGATAAGAACTTAAAAGTTGTGGGATAAAAAGTAAAATTAATTCAAAATGAAAATATATAATATTGATTTTGGTAGGAAATTGAAGTCTCCTTTTATTTGCTTGGAAAATGTTCGCCCCACTATTGAATTATTGCATCAAGTTGTAGAAAGTCATAGATGAAGACATGAAGTGTTTAATAAATGGTTATAAGTGAGTCTTGTGTCTAATGATATCAAGTTACTCTTTTGTGAGATTGAATCTTAATAGAGGTGATATTGACTCTTTATGCTTCATTTAGTATTATAAAGTGTTATCCTACACCATGAACCATTTCTAATTGTTCATGCCGCACCATGTCAAAAAAAATTAATAAAAAATTTCATGTCAGCAATATTATTACCAGTAACCTGTAGGAAACCTGTAAAAAATTATAGACAAAAGAAATATTATTTATGACTTTAAATATCACTTATTAAAAATCATGATTCGACATAAATAATTAGGAATGGTTCATGGTGCGATGACACTTTAGTCTAAAAAAAATAATGTAAATAGTGGTTGCCAAGATAAAAATAGATATCTTAATATATACTCCGTAATTGGTGCAGCGGTTGCAATTAAGAATATAATTTAATGAAAATAGTGGCTGCCAAGAAACAAAACATTGGCCCACAAATCTGGAATTATTGCACCAAGTTGGAGAAAGCAACATTGGACCCCAAGTCTTGAATTATTGCACCAAGTTGGAGAAAGCCATGGAATCTTTTGACTAGAAGTTAAAAAACTGCCCACAGATTAGTAGCATTTCCCAATTCCGGTTCATATCTCTCTCTCTTCATCGATCTTCATCTTCCTTTTGCTAACCTTCACTCAAACAATTCAAACTCAGATCAGATAAACAAAACTCTCTTGTTTTCAAAAAATAAAAAATAAACAAAACTCTCTCCCTCTATCTCTCTCTCTCTCTCCCATTTACATATAACACATACACCAATACAGAAAAATGGCTTGTGTGGCTGTACTTTCTCTTATGAGAACAATGGAGCTTGAGTTCTTGCAAACTCACCCTCGTCCAATTCTACAACAAAATCAACTACTCATCCCTCCCAACATAGACTTCATCCAATCTCTCCTTGGAAAACTCCAATCTCTTGTTGAGTTATTTGATGAGAATAGGATGGATGGTGTGGAGGCAATTAGAATCTTGGAAACCAGACTCAGAGATGTAGCTTTCAGAACTGAAGATGAAATTGAACTCCAAGTAGTACATCTTTATCAAGAAGAGGAAAGGGCTACTCGGGGATGCTCAATGCTTTGCCAAATTGTTCATCGGCTAAAGGGAAATCCAAGGGAGTATAATGATGATATAGTGGAGAGAACTTGTCCTTCTCTCACACTTGGTTATATATTGCAACAAGCAATAGATGATATTGATGCCATCAAAGAAGAGCTGGTGAAAGTGAAGGAGGAGTATGAGCTTTCCAAAGATCTACACGGAAGAAATGCTGCCCTTCATGTTTTACCAAAGCCTGCAGATGATGAAGTTATCACGATGGCTTCACACTTCCAGGAAATAATGGTTGGAAAGCAGGATGAGTTTGAGTTTATAAAGGAGAAGTTAATCCAACATCCATCCAAGCAGCTAGAAGTTGTCACAATTAAAGGTATGGGAGGTATTGGTAAGACAACTTTAGCAAAGAAAATTTATGAAGATCCATTAATCACTTCCTACTTTGATATGCGAGCATGGACGGTTGCATCACAACATCACAGTAAGAGGCAAATGCTCTTAGATCTTCTTGGTTCCAAAGACGATGCTGGCAAAAGCAGTGATGGGGACCTAGCATTACTACTCTACCAAAGTTTCAAGAAGTGTCAAAGGTACTTGGTCGTGATGGACGACATATGGAGCGTAGAGGCATGGTATGCTGTCAAATCTTGCTTTCCGGATGATGGAAATGGTAGTCGAGTATTGTTGACAACTCGCCTTTCAGAGGTGGCTAATCATACCTGCTCCAAAGGTGACTTCTCTCATCAAATGCAATTCTTAGAACAAAGTGAGGGTTGGAAACTATTTAATGAAAAGGCATGTAAATCTCGTGGTGCTGAATTTGAAACGATTGGGAGACCGGTAGTTGAAAAATGCAAAGGACTGCCTTTGGCAATTATTGTGGTTGCAGGTCTTTTTTCGAAACTTAACACTCTAGATGAGTGGATAAGTACTGCCAATGCTCTAAGTTCTTCTGCAACTACGCTAGATGATGAAGAATGTTTGAGAATACTCTCATTGAGTTACAATCATTTGCCCCACAACTTGAAAGGTTGTTTCTTATACTTGGGAGTTTTTCCAGAAGATCACGAGATCCATGCTAATAATCTTGCAAGGTTATGGCTTGCCGAAGGACTCGTGAAGACATTTGAGAATGAAAACTTTGATGCAGTGGCTAACAGGTACATGCAAGAACTTATGGATAGAAACCTAATCATTTTAAGCCAGCTATGCTCTCGTGGAAGAAAAATTAAGAGCTTTAGGATGCATGATTTATTGCATGCCTTTTGTGTAAGAGAAGCTCAAAAGGAAAACCTGTTACATGTTGTCATGAGTGAAAATAGGTCTGATTTCCCTCAGAAAGGCGTTCGCTGGTTAAGAATCCAATCGGTAAACTTAGACATGTCTACAATTTATTCTCAAACAAAAAGCTCCAGGTCGTTCTTCTTTTTTTTTGTTGAAGAGATCATCTTTTAAGTTTAAAGATTTCAATTTATTGAGAGTACTCTACTCTGCAACTATATACGCCAAGTTCGAGAAGGGTGTGGTCCTTAAGGATATTGTCCATTTGAGATTCATAAGATGGAGAAAGGATATAAAACTATTCAGAGCTCGGGGATTTCTAATGTCAAGGCGTAGAAATGGTATAGAATTGTTCAGGTCTTGGAATCTTCAAACACTTAATTGTTTCGGAAAAGTATCATATAGATCAAATGATGAAGGAAATTATTCGGAGTTTCCACAACTACACTATATTCATTGCTATGGCTGTATTCATGGAAATCCTCCCAGTTTTGTTCATAAACTTTCTAAGATAAGAGTTGATGATTGCTCACAAGAATACATTAAGAATATTCCATTCTTAAAAAAGGTAAGCGTTGATAGTAACGGCAGAGAGGATTTCAATGCTTGCATTACGAACTTTGCCTCTTCAGAGCAGCTTGAGGGACTTTGTTTTTATGGTAATTGGCAGTACATAAATACTCCAATTACTAATCATATTGTTAACTTAAAAAATCTTAGGACGTTGTCCTTACGATCTATAAGATTTTGTTCAGAGGAAATTAATATTCTTAGCAAGTTGCCTAGGCTTGAGGTGTTGAAGTTAAAATGGACGCGATTCCTAGGCAAAGAGTGGAAAATACAAGAAGAAGTGATATTTTGCTGTTTAATTTCTTTGCAATTTATTGGCTCTAATCTTGAGCATTGGCAAGCTAGTAGTTCTAATTTCCCAAAACTTGAGCACCTATATTTTTTTGGTTGCCCTAAATTGAGAGAGATCCCAATTGACTTTGCTGAAATTTCAACATTAAAGTCAATCATATTACGGAGGTGTCTTCCTTCTGCTGTGGAATCAACCAGGAAAATTCAGGATGAGCAACGTGAGTATGGAAACGACAATATGGTTGTTACTGAGGAAATGACAAACGTGTATGTCACCCTTTCTCTTTCTCAATTGCATTGTTCCACTTGTGCCAAGCAATTCAAATTTAATTAAATTCAGTGACTCATGATAGGTTTTGGGAATCAAAGAAAAGCCTGAGAGAAGAAGAGCTAGAAGTGGATAACTGAAAATTGATACCTTGTATTCAATCACTTTTAGCCATAAGACAAAAATGGTATGTTTTCAAGAACACATATATAATTGTAATTACATACATATATACATACAGGACTGTATTTGTAGTTTGATTCATGCATTTATCACAGGACAGGCAACGACGGTATGCTATCTATTTGTTGGAGTTTAGTTGTTAGAATCATATATGGGGAGTGCTCAAACTTCATGTCTTGTATTTTAGTACTGAATTCGAAGCTTTAAACTTTATAATAACTCTTGAAGTTTAGATTTGCAATATGTGTGTGTGTTTGATCATATATATGCAGACTTATTGCTGGAGTTGATGATGATGAGTGTTAACAAACTAATTAAGAAGATTGCTTTGCCTAAAAGAAAGCATATATGTATCCCAGTGGTTGGTTTTGGCATTTGAACTTTAATTTGCTTTTTTAATAGATGTAATGTAGCCTCTGATCTGTTAGTTTCTGAATCATGCATATATGATGTATGTGCAATGCAATATATACTGAGTTCTATTTTCTATCCCTATATATATTCATATTTAGTTGAGTTGCATATATTGTAATATTGTAAGATGATGGAAATCATAGAATGGGTTTTGGCTGGATTGTTGGTAATGAAGCGGGCATTGTGTTAAATGCAGTTATGTTTACTGTCCAGGAGCTAGAAGGGGTGGCAACGGGTGATCTTAGAGACTGATGCTCAAGTGGTGACATGTGGTATTGAGAAGGCAGTGAGTAATTCTCCTTTTGGTACTATTATCTAGGAGATTAGTATGTTGTTGCAGCAGTTCCCTCATGTTAGATTTGTTTTTGTTCAGTGTAATGGTAATAGGGCCTGCTCATGTTTTAGCATGGCAATCTTTATGTAATTCTGAGGAGGGGAAGTTTGAGTATTCTGCTTTTATTCCTTGTTTTCTTTCTGAGTCCGTTTGTAAGGACATTCTGAGAAATTAATTCAGCTTTCTTTGGTTTTCCAAAAAAAAAAAAAAAAAAAAAAAAAAAAAAAAAAAACCTTGAAACATCTTTCTCTTCAATTCTTATACCATATTTCTTTCCCTTGAAACAAAATTACTTCAATTTTATGCGTCTTTCCCATGTTTGATATAAAATATATAGAGGGAGCAGTTCCGATGCGAAGATGTTCTCAGTTGAAAGATGGGGTTATATTTGAGTTGTTGATCAAATCTAGATCAACGGCTCAAATTAATGAAAAAAAAAAAAAAAACTGCCTCCTCATATGCATCTATCCATTTTTTTCATGTTTACTCCAAAGATAACAACTCTAATATTTGTTATTATATTGCTATCATATTTTTTTCTTTTGAATTAGATAAACAACAAAACCTGGATCGAATCATTTTGAACTTGTGAACCAAAACTGGAAAAATACCTTTGTACTATTGAGTTGAAAAAAAACTGTAAAAATGGTGCACCTTAAAAAGAAAAAAAACCATACACTTAAAGCTTTAGGCCGACACTATGCACCTTAAGAACACAGCAAAAAGCACCTTAAATTTGACCTAGGTGCAAAAAAAAAAACAAATTATGTGTTCAATTTGGACGGTTGATTTTGATTAGATCAAGGACTAAGATTCCCCATCTTTTACCTCATTTGAACCTAATTCTATATATATATATATATGATAAGGTTCCGGACATACAATACTTCTTAAAAACAAAGACAATTTTCCTTACTTTAGTTTTTCATCATTTACCAAACAGTAAAAACTCATAAAATGATTTCCATAAGCTTAATAAAAAACTAATTGAATGGGGCTCAAACACACCTCATAGAATCATAGAAAATAAATGATTTGCATCAAAAGTACAGATTTGTGAACAGACAATAAACATAAGAGCATATGACAACAAATCTCTCTTAAATCACTTCAAAGTTACAATAACACCAAGGACAAACTGGTCAACATTGTCTCTGTTTCACCATCTCAAATAACAATGTGTAGAGTTTTTTTAGCAAGAATTCTAGAAGACAACTGTATCCAGCATAGTTCCCAGTGTCTGAACAATGTTTGATGACATCAAATTTGACACATGTTCTTCGAGATGCTTCTTGGCGTCTTGCCTTCCCACATTTGCAATGGCCAGCTTCTCTGGTGGCAACTCATCCTCTTCCTGGACTGCTTTATTATATTTGATAGCAAGATTTAGCATTTCCTGCGCGTGAGATTATCAAAAGTAAGAACACAGGAGAGTTTCAATTCTACCATCATGAAAGACTTTTAGTCATTGATATAAACATGTAGTTGCTTTGCGACCAGTGAAAAAGCAGCTTTGCCAGAAGCTTTCATATCATGATTGAAAACCAGAAAACCATAAAAGCTTTACCCACCTTCTATTATGTATGTAAATATGATACAAAAGGATACTTAAATGGAAAAAACAATTGTACCTGGACTGTCTCCTCATTGGTTTTGGAGTGGGCATCAAATCGCTGGAGTGTCAATCCATCTGTCCATTTCTTCTTATGGAGATTCAGTAACATCTTCTCTTCAAGTTCATTCTTTCTATAATTGATTGCTATGGAGTAATAGTGCCTGTTCAGACCATGGATCAATGCCTGCATGATACATCACCCATCATAAACCACAAATATGTCAATGACCACTTATCTGAAAACCCTTCTCAAAGTATATATTTATCACTAACCTGAATGGATGGTTTGTTTAGATGTCCCAAGTTAGATGTTGTCTGCCGTGGCTCTTGGCCAAGCATCATGGTTTGGGGGTTGATCAAACGAAAGGCATCAATCACCACCTTTCCTTTAACACTTTGGATCGGATCCACCACCACTGCAACCGCTCTTTGATTAAGAGCTTCAAAACTCTGCGCATTGCAATATCAAAAAAAGATAGCTATTATGCATGTTCAACAATGACTCCCCTATATTTGATGATGTCAAAATGAGGATCATTGCCCAAAATCCACATATGGTTCAGGTACTTGATATCTCAATTATTAGTGTTCATTTTATAAGTGCATATCTTCCTTAAATGCTTTAATTACAGAATGCATAATGGACAGTCATGGGATTACTGGGGAATGGACTAATGACCCCTATTAATCACCGGATTGGTTATTTTAAGAGATTAGGTATTGGGGCACCCACACCCACTCGATCCCAAGAGATGAGCTAAATTAAATAGGTGGAGAGAAATCCAAAATTTGGGATAGAAGTGGTGAAGGGATACAGAATCCTTAATTATGTGTTTTGAACCACAAAGGCCCTCACGATAGATAGGTTGTATCCCCATCATAGAAAATAAATGCAGATACCTGCTGAGTATTGATGTCCACACCCGAAAGCCAACAGCCGAAACCAGGATGTGAATGATACCAACCAACAACCATCTCTGGCCTGCAGCACCAAGCAAAGATACCAATCATATACATTGCTAAATTCAACAATGCAGGGAATTCAATAGGCAATAAGAGATTAAAAAAAATACATTCACATGTTTATAGCAAGAGTTGGCAATCCCTCTAGGGTAGGGAAATTAAGAGTTGTAGAGGATTCAATGTTTAATAAACTGCAATTCACATCAAACTTCAGAATAACTGCTTACTCTAGTTGTGCACCACCCCCCGCACAAAAAAAAAAAAAAAACAAAAACAAAAAAAAAAAACAAATATATCCCTCATGCCAAAGCATACCATTTTAAAAAGTAAAATGGAAAAATAAAAGTAACTAAGTAAAGTAGACAGACACATTTAGCCACCTCTATTCACATCAAACTCCAGCTAGTAATCCCAAAAAAAAAAAAAATCCCATACAGTATCAAGCATGAGAGCTTGGCTCTGAACTCTGAAGCCCTAGATAGCATAAGACACAGATATCCAGTTAAGGATACAACTGTAAGGTGGACAATGGATTATCACCATCTCCAATCAATATTAAGTTATTATGGACCTCCTGAAAATGCAAACCATACACTTAATTCTAAATCATGACCTCCAACTCTCTAACTATTTGAAACTCACCAGAAAGCACAAAGCCTTTAAAATCTTAAAATTTCAGCTTAATTTTTCAATCTGTTGAAGAAGCTATAAATATACAGCACATATCAAAATGAGAGCTCAAATTATCCACGTATTATGATTGAAAGAGTGCTGAACGAATATAAGAATCAATAACGAAAACACACTAGCAATACCTGCCAGTTTGCTTGAGCATGTCAAGCATATTGGTCTGGAAGACATGATCAACAGCTTCAACACTCACTCCGGTCCCGCTCTGTGGCATAGCGAACACATCGACCACGCGGACCGTGTACTCATCCACAAATTCCCCCAACATCAATCCCATGACTTCCATCGGAACCCCGGCTCTCCCTGTTCAATAACACCGCAAAACCCTAACATCACTCCAAACCGCAGACGAATACACAACTCAATTCGCATAAACATATAAAACAGAAACACAGATTAGGAAGAAGCCCTAGGTTACCGTGTTTGAGCATCTTGAGGAGAGCGAGAGAAGAGATGTAGACTTGCTCCGATGAATCGAGAGTAGGAGAATCCGGCGGCGGGTGACCTAACGCACCACCGGCTCCGGCGAACATACGCTGCAGCCTTTCCATTCCCGACATGATTGGTTTAAGATTTACTCTCTCTTCCGCTATGCTTTAGCCGCTTCGATTTCTTTGGAAACACGACTACTGTGGAATTAAAATCCTCACCCGATCTGGGTGAAGGAAGAGGGTATATAAATAAAGTAGCAAATATTGCAATAATACCCCTCTACTTCATTCAAATTTCGATTTCAAACATCCATTTTGGCAAATTATATTGTAGATTTGTAAACCTTAGTCAAGGGGATTACTAGAGTTGTTAATGGGACTGGTGGGGCGGGCCCGCCAAAGCCCACCATTGTGGCGGGATGGATAAAAAAAATTCGCCAAAATACGGGCCTAGTAAGGACTAGCCCGCCCTGTCCTCTTAGGCCCGTGGAAATTTTTAATAAATATGAAATTTTTTTAGTGTGATGAAATATGGAGATGGTATACTAAACATGGGCCACATAGACGGGCCACATATAGACTTATATGTCATTGTCATGCTTGGTTAACACAATTCCTTGACAATGTAAGTATATATATGGTGTCGGTGGCAATCCAGGTAATTTAATTGAATAATTGGTTTGGTTATCATAAGATTTTAAGTTTAACTTTTTGTATAAACTCTTTATTGATATTACTGATTTGTGTTGGTGGCCCATAATCTTTAAATCAAAGTGTCACTATAACTCTAGAAGATAACTTAAAATAAATTAATCCTAACTCCCAATATCACCATGTTTGTATTTATCTTTCACTAGGCTTTAATCATATATATCATAGTAGTTAGTCAATCCTAATTCCTAACTACTACATATGGAATACTCAAAAACAATTTTTTTTTTCATTTAAAACAATATTCTATATTAAGAACAGATGGTACAACTAAATTAATTGAAAGTGTGAAGAAAAAAAAATTATCTTACAAACTAAATTAATTACTTAATTAAGTGAAGGCTGAACAAAACACCCTATAGTTACAATCACCCATTTATATTATCATTGTTTTATTTATCATCTATAGACTATACAAGGAAATTAAAGTTGCATGGATTCAGTGCCCTGGTCAATTGATTGGATACCGTATTTTGTCCCGAGTCTTTACAACTAGTAAAGGGCCGGGCAACCTCAATTCTGTAAGTCTTGATCAATTGATCAGGCGCGACACCTTATAACTTTGTCTGAACCATTATGTACGTTTAGTAACCGGCGATCTCGATTCTCTAAGTCTCCTTTCATTCGATAGAAACTTTGCCAACCTACATATATGATATGTAATATAATATTACAAATAAAGTAGTTGAATTTATGACAAGAAAAATTGTAATTAATTTTGCAACATTGATTATATATATATATATATATATATATATATATATATATATATATATATATATATATATAATTAGTACCTTTTGAGAGCATCTTCATTTGTGCCAGAATGTGGAATTGGTTCACTGATACCAGTCTCTAAATTCACCCTGGAAACTGGCTTCTTCAGCAGCTTCTCCCCAATTTCCACCAGCTTTTCCAAATTTTCCTCAGTGGCTACATCCATGGAAGATTGTGTTCCAGTCAGTGAAGTTTGGAAAGAATGAATAGGAATCGGGATAGATGCAGGTACTTGAATTCTGAGATAAGAATTTTCACAGTCCCCGAGAGCCTGGAAGACGGCGGAGTTATGCAGATCCACCATATCTGAACTGGCCTCCATGAAAACTTCGATCAATGGGGTTGAGCTTTTGTGCAGTAACCAGCTGAGAATACCCCATTTCGCCGCTTCCTTAGAATTATACTTGTACTCATTTCCAGCAGTTCCTGTCCCGATAGATATCACAAGAAAACGGCTCAAATCCATGGGCTTGATGGGGAACAAGTCTGGGTTGTTGTCGAAAATCTGTTTGGTCACTTGGCTTATGGCTACCAATGTCTGCAAAACCATACATATATACATGCATTATTAATACTATAATATATATAATGATGAACACTACTGGAAATTATGGAATTTTCGACCACGAAAGTGATCTTAAATCAAGTTGAAACCAAAAAGTGGTCGGAAATAGCAACAAGGTTTTTCCAGATACCAAAAGTGGTCGGAACAAAGCTTTCGACTTGATTTAAGATCACTTTCAGGTGGTCGGAAATTCCATAATTTCCAGTAGTGATAGTTTTTGTCTGGTTTTTATTGTTAGTAGTGTCGTCGTACCGGATTATTGGCAGCGACGCCCCCGTCGATAACATTGTATTCTTTGGGAGGATGATTAGTAATTCCTTCTTGTTTGGGACCTTCTTGAATCTTGAAATAATGAGCAGGAAGGTATGTGGGGGCAGCTGAAGTGCCAATGCAAACGTCTGACAAATAAACATCCATGTTTGGGCATCTCTTAGCCTGCAACCATATCACAATAATGGAGAACAGAATAAACATATGGGAGAGTTACTTCGTGTTACTAAACCAGAAGGTCATTGGCAATTTATCCTTATTTATCACACCAGAAAGTAAAAACAGGGAAGTAGAATTTGGGGTACAACTCTTTCCAAACACCACTTTACCTCGTAAGTGGAGAAGATGACAGGCTGCAAACACTTGATGTCAAAAGTGGGAATAACAACGTTAGTGAGAGTGTCTTTTAGGCGAATGTCTTTCAGCTCCTCCTTCACCAGACTATGCAGGTACTTGCCGTCGTATTTGGGGCGAAACACAGCTCTAATCAACCGCCATATTTCACAAAACCATCCACTGCCGGCCCATGATTCAGATTAACGTTAATCATCATCGCTAAATCAAGAAATTAATAAGACAGCTTAGCTTATTATTCATTACCTTTTTTGTGGGAAAATCTTGGGACAGTTGTTCAGGTAGAAAGGCTTTATATCTCTAGCTGCATAAAGGGGGCGGCCATTCTCGCCGGGAGCCGCTAACATGGCCGTCACAAGGCCGCCGGTGCTTGTCCCCGACATCACGTCGAAGTAGTCTGCCAGTCTTGCATCTGCTCCATCCAGCTCCTATAATCGAGTTAAGTTACTATCAAACTTTATTTAAAGATGAGTTAATTACCAATTTGGTCCCTCGACTATGAGGATTTCACCAATCTGGTCCTTGACTTTTAAAGTTTTTCAATTTAGTCCGTGACTACGTCTTTTTTTTTTTTTTTCTTTTTTTAATATCCGAAATGGTCCTAACTGTTAGACATCCGTTATCTCGAGACCAAATTAGTAATTTTGCTATAGTCAAGGACCATTTCGGTCATCACATGCACCATTTTATTCGAAAGTTAATTACGGAAATGGTCCCTTGACTATAGCAAAATTACCAGTTTGATCCCGAGTTAACGGACGTCTAACGGTTAGGACCATTTCAGGTAAAAAAAAAAACATAATCGGAGACTAAATTGAAGAATTTTGAAAGTCAAGGAGTAAATTGGTGAAATCCTCATAGTCGAGGGACTAAATCGGTAATTACTCATTTAAAGATTGTAACTCATCCACTATTGTGGATAAATGTTGGGTGAAGGTCACTGAATGGCCAAATTCAACAATTGATGACTCGGGAATTATTGGGCAAATGTTTGAAGGGTCAAGTCCAGCACCTTGTATCTTGAAAATGTGACAGTAATATAAAGAAATAAATTAAAGTTGCATCTTCGCCATTACTCACTATAACTTTTGTCATAATGGTAAACGGTTAATCTAATAAATGGTATTAGAGTCAGTCACAGTTAAGACTAACAAGGGTTGGGAGGAAAAATTGTTGGGCGGAGATGACTCTAGCACTTTTCCTACTAACTATAGCTTTGGGCATAGTACATAGTGATAAAAGGTTGATCCTAACCATAAATAACTTACTTGAAGTTGAGATTCGAGGTAATCTAGGATAATGGCAGGAATGATTCCTCGAATGCCACCGCCGTCTATGCTAAGAATAGTGACTAGATTTCCATAGGTGGGAGCTTGAATCTGTGCGGGTTTTCTCTCCATTTTCACAATTTATGTGATAACAATTCAGATAATTCAAGTTTTGATCGAGCAAAAATGAAGTTTCTGTTAATAGCTAACTTGTAATATGTAGCATTATATATGAAATATTCAAGTTTTGTGTAGTAGTGCAAGCTAGTTTAACTGCGCCAATCATAATGGTTGCATTAAATTTGGTTTATAATAATGGAAAACTGGTCATTAATGATTACAGGGGACAACTGGCTTTTTTCTAGATTTTTTTTTTTTTGAGGAGTTGGACATTTTTGGGTGGTCGTTGTTGTTTAATTTAAAATTCTAAATGCTTAATCTTAAAATTATTTTAGAATTAAAACATCCTTTAAAAGTTGAACTTAAATAATTTTGAAAATAAAAATCAGGAAGCTTAAAAATTTTGAACCGGTGAGATTTACCTGTTAGGATCAACGCTTGTCACTATACCAAAAGTTATAACTAATTACAAATGCAACATGTTTCTAATGGGATTCATATACCAATTGTCAGGATCACGAGATTAATTACCATCACGACAAAAGTTATATATAGCTAGTAGCACGCGAATAATGTACAATTTTATTTCCTTTACTTATGTAGCAATCTGTGTTACGTTTCAATGACATAATGTTGGACTCGACTCTCCAAACGGCTAGCCAACAAGATCGTCCCATCATGAGATATTTTTATTAATGCATACAGATGTATTACATTTTAACTAAAAATATTACATGTTTAGGTCAAATAGTCTAAGACACAAGACTTACGACGATTAATATAGGTAAAATAAAAACGTGTTGGGTTGGGAATTCAATCTTTGGGAGAAGAAAATAAAAACGTGTTATTGAATTATTTTAGGTCTAACATTATTGCTTAATTTCTTTCTTTTTATTGATGAATGTAACTTTCCTGCAATTTTCAGGATTTTGGGGATTCAGCTTGCCATTAATAAGATCAGTTAATTCAGAATTACGTTATGCTGAAAGACTCTTATATTGGTTGCTGTATTGAAATAGTCATAATATAGATAGCTACATACCATCTGCCATTAATTAATGCTTATCTCTCTCTTTCTTACACACACATACATATGTGTGTATATAAAAAATATTTTAATATTTAGTATTAATATTGGACATCTATTTTTAAGCATTGCACCTAAAAAGGCTAGTATATATTCATCACTAATGTATTTTCTTGTGTTATTTGTAGTAAAAAAATGGAGAGTATATTTAGATAAAATTCTTCAGTTACATTTCTTAAAACAAAATTATTGGTAAAGCAACCTAAAAATTTTGCATATCTTCTTATATATCTTATAAGTCTTAATTAATATGATTTTCTCTAATCCTTAATGATGAGAGAGACTAAAAATTTATAGAAAATGGATTATAATTAAACCTGAATATGTCAAATGGTCTGGTTTTTATCCCCTCAGTTTCCTTTTTATATTTTGTATTACAGGAAATTTTCCCAACAAATCCTAACTACTGTGGAATACTCAAGAAAATTTTTATTCTTTAAAATATTATATATATATATATATATATATATATATATATATATATATATATATATATATATATATATATATATATACTATAATAAGAACAAATGGTACAACTAATTAATCGGAAGAACTTAATTAATTGAAAGTGGTGAGCAAAAGTTATAATCTTATAAACTAATTAAATTATCACTTAACACTACTGAAAATTATTGAATTTGCGACCACCTGAAAGTGATCTTAAATCAAGTCGAAAGCAAAAAGTGGTCGGAAATAGCAACAAAGATTTTTCGACTTTCGACTTGATTTAAGATCACTTTCAGAGTTTTAGGTAGTCAAAAATTTCATAATTTCCAGTACTGTAAGTGAAGGCTAAGACAAAACACTAACAAGCTACTTAATTGTAACTTGTAAGATACTATATATGTATGTTAGTGACTAATATGTCACACTGTAGTTACAACCACCAATTTATATTATCATTATTTTATTTATCCTTTATAAACATTTAAAATGAGATAGAGAGAGTATAATTAAACTACACTAATCATGAAATACTCAAAGCAACTTTTATTTGTTAAAAAAATAATGCTATTATAAATGAACAAATTAAAGAGTACATCTAGTTACAAGAATACAACTTAATTAATGGAAAGAGCAGAGCAAAAATTTTAACCATATATATAAACATACTAAATAATTATCACCTAGCTAGCTAAGTGACTAATATGTCACACTATATATATATATTCTTTTCTCATCTAGCTTGAGTACAGGAGAGCAACGTAACATGCATGGATCCTGATCAGTTGATTGCATGCATTAATACTTTGGTCGAGCTTTTGTTGGTGACAGGTGACTTCAGATCTCTAAGTTTCTTTTCATCTGATAATAACTTTGCGAACCTATATGATATATATATATATATATATATATATATATATATATATATATATATATATATATATATATATATATATATATATATATATATTTGACATTAAAAAGAAATCAGTTCAATTTGTTATAACAACATAAAACATTGTTATATATTATGGTTCACTGCTGGAAATTATGAAATTTTCGACCACCTGAAAGTGATCTTAAATCAAGTCGAAAGCCTTGTTTTGACCACATTTGATATCCGGACAAATCTTTGTTGCTATTTCCCACCATTTGTTGCTTTTGACTTGATTTAAGATCACTTTCAGGTAGTCGAAAATTCCATAATTTCAGTTCACTACTAGCTATTAATTACCTTTTGAGAGCATCTTGATTTGTGCCAGAATTTGCAACTGGTTCACTGACACCCGTCCCTAAATTTACCCTGGAAACTGGCTTCTTCAGCAGATTTTCCCCAGTTTCCACCAGCTTTTTCAGGTTTTCCTGGGTGGCTATGTCCACAGATGATACTGTTCCATCCAAACTGTCATCCTGTTTACCAAAAAGCATAGGTTTTCATAAATTAATGACACCAGAAAACAATAAAAGACAAACTAATTGAAGGGGAATTGAAGTGGTATATATATGTACTTGAATTCTGAGATAACTATCTTCAGAATGGAGAGCCTGGAAAACCACGGAGTTATGCAGATCCACCATGTCTGCACTGGCCTGCGAGAAAGCGTCGATCAATGGCGTTGAGCTTTTGTGAAATAACCAGCTGAGAATCCCCCATTTGGCCGCATGTATAGAATCATACATTTTCTCATTTTTGGCGGCTCCTGTCCCTAGAGATATCACAAGAAAACGGTCGAAATCCGTGGGCTTGATGAAGGAGAAGTCTGGGTTCTTGTCGAAAATCTGTTTGGTCACTTGGGTTATGGCTACCAATGTCTGCAAAACCATACATACATAGATTCATTTCTTTAGTATTAATTAATGACAAGAAATTAAAGATGTTGTTTTTATTGTTAGTATTGTCGTACCGGATTGTTTGCGGCAACGCCACCATCGATAAGATTATACTCTGTGGGAGGTTCAGTTTCTTGCTTGGGATCTTCAATCTGGAAATGATGAGCAGGAAGATACGTCGGAGCGGCTGAAGTGCCAATGCAAATGTCTGACAAATAAGGATCCATTTTTGGGCATCTCTTAGCCTGCAACATGCATGACAACCACAATAATTGTTGAGATTAACAAAAACAAAAAACAATAATAATGGCAGAAAGGTAAAGAAAGCAAGATTTACATTATTCACCGGCTTCACTAGTATAAGACAAACTCATATTCTTAATTTCTATATGAGACAAACTCAACAATAATTAAAAACAGCATAACCAACTTGGCTGGAGTGACGGGTGGAGGACACAAACCTCGTAAGTGGAGAAGATGACAGGCTGCAAACTCTTGATGTCAAAAGTAGGAATAACAACGTTAGTGAGAGTGTCTTTTAGGCGAATTTCTTTCAGCTCCTCTTTCACCAGACTATGTAGGTACTTGCCATTGTACTTGGGGCCAAACACAGATCCAATCAATTTCCATGTTTTACCAAACCATCCCCTGTCGGAGATTTAACGTTAGTAATCACAAAATCAAAGAAATTAAAAAACGAACAACTACTGCTGGCAATTATGAAATTTCTGACTACCAAAAAGTATCTTAAATCAAAGTTGAAAGCAAAAAGTGGTCAGAAATAACAAAAAAGATTTTTCAGGATAACAAAAATAGTTGGAACAAGGTTTTGGACTTGATTCAAGATCACAGGTGGTCGGAAATTCTATAATTTCCAGTATATTGGTAGAAAGTAAAAGCAAACATCTATATATGACTTACCCCTTTTGTGAGAAAATCTTGGGACAGTTATTCAGGTAAAAAGGCTTAATATCTTTAGCTGCATAAAGGGGGCGACCGTTCTGGTCGGGAGCCGTCAACATGGCCGTCACAAGGCCGCCGGTGCTTGTCCCGGAGATCACGTCGAAGTAGTCTGCCAATCTCGCATCTTCTCCATCCAACTCCTATATATATATACATAATATAATCAACCCAATGAGCTAATAATCCGAGTTAAGTTACTGCAAAACTTTATATATATAGCTTACCTGAAGTTGTGATTCGAGGTAATCGAGGATAACGGCCGGAATAATTCCTCGAATGCCACCGCCGTCGATGCTAAGAACAGTGACTAGTCTTCCATAGGTGGGAGCTTGAATTTGTGAGGGTTTTCTCTCCATCTTCACCATTTTTATGCCAACTTTAGATGCAAATTATAAGCAAAAATGGAGTTTAATTAATTTCTGTGTGAATATGAAAACAAGCTAATTTAAGGTGTGTTATTAGTTTCTCAGAATCAGATGTATGTTCTACTTCTCCCAGGCCACTTCCATTTATAGCTAGCTAGCATTGAACCAATTCAAGCTAAGCAAGTCATCAAGACTGTATTCCGAGTCAACAAACTCTCCATTGATGAGCTTTCCTGCAAGTTTCAGGACTGTGAAGATTCAACTTTGGGCGGCTAATAATGAAGATCGGATCGTTCATTCAGAATTAGGCCGGTTTTGGCTGGGTTTAAGAAGTCATATGTGTCCATCCTGCTACCATTTATTATCGTTCATTCAATTCTTTGAAGTTTGACTAGTCGTCTTGCAAGAAAAGTCTTTCCCGGCCTAACTTAAGTTTTGCCATGGCCGGCCTCCATCAAGTTGCATGAGGCATGCACATGCATTTAAATGTGAATAAGTACGTGGTACAACATAATTCGGACAGTTAGTTTGTTAATCATAATAAGGTTTCAAATTTGACTATTGTGGAGAGTTGTCTATTGATTTAGATAGTCTTTTTTTTTTTTTTTTTGAATGCTACTAGTTCTATTAGATTGTAGTATCTGTTCATATACTTTCTCAGCCTCCACTGAGGCTCGAACTCACAACCTTCCAAGTGGAAGTCCAACCCGGGTACCATTGGACAACATAGTCTTTTTTATTTGATTAGGTTAAGTTGTCTAATTATCTCTTCTTGATTCTTTGCCAGCTAAAGTAGTCACAAGACATGCATGGAGAACACCTTTGGGTAGGATTCATTAAAATTTACATAAATATAATATGGCGCGACACCGTTAAGTAGGATTCATTAAAATTTACGTAAATATAATATAACGTGACAATAATGAATTTTTCAATTAAAAGTTATTGACGCTTCATATTGACAAATTAATGATTGTGATTACCATGACAAACTTGGGTAACTGTAATTCAATAGATTTACAATTAATTAAATGGACAGTTACTAAAATTTTTAAATTTATTCAAACAACAAGGAACAAGGACCATAAGATCTTGATAAATGGAGGGTGTGAATATGTCCACATAAACACTTTCAAATTAACCAAGTGGCTTGTAGTCCACTGGTATCGGATTGCTTCTCTAGGTGGAAAGTGATGGGTTCAAACCTCGGTTCAATTCGTTAACTGATGTCCCACCAAATTGTGCGTACCTCTAGATATAATATAATTAAACTACAGTGGAAATGTGGAGTGAATACTCTCAAAGCAATTTTTATTTGTTATGAAGAACAAAGAGTACATCTAGTTACAAGGTACAACTTAATTAATTGAATAAAACAAATTAACCATATATGAATTTACCCACATGAGCAGCTCAACCTCTCATAGAGGTGAAAAGTTGAAAGAACGGTAGTGATCGAGGGGGCTCCTTGTACACAGTAAGTAAAGGTTTAGCCTAGGATTTACATCCTCCCAAATATTTTGTCGGGTTGAGGTTCAACATTTTGAAAGAATTTAATTAAATTATCACTCAAGTAAATGGTGAACAAAAAACACTAGTTCCAAGGTAGTTAGTTGTAGGATACTATGTGTGTTAGTGACTAATTATCGCCAATTATATTATATTCTCGTTTCATTCCTTTCGGGACAGAGCATGTGGGAGGATGTAAATCATAATTCCCATACTGTCGCCGCCGAGGATCGAACCTTGGTCTCTTACCCCAAACACTGCCCACTAAATCATTGAGCTAAGCCCATGCGAGTTTCTCGTTTCATTTCTCCTCTTAGGGATGGTCGTAATTTGAATTATCCGAACTACCACCCGAAACTCGAATTCAATTTTAAATTTCGAATGAACATGAATAGTTATCGGTACGGATCATTTAAAATTTGATATATGCGAATATAAATTTGGTTCGAATAGATATCGGGAATTAAAAATTTATCCATACCTGAACAAACCAAAATTTTATTATAAATATAATAATATAAATTATATATTTAATTTTAAATATATATCATAATTAATAATATATTAATTCTCAAAAGTCTCCTACTTAGTAATTAGTATTTTTTTTTTTTTTAAGTTTCATAGTATATAGAAAAATAATAAAATTGTTACAAAATTCAAAATTGATAAAAACAAAATTTTAGATATATCCAAACTAATCCGAAATAATTTCACCAAACTGAATATATCTGAATTAAATTTAATTCGGATATTTGGTGTCAAAAACATCACTCAAAATTTTCAAATATCTAAAATAAAATTCGGGTGTCAAGTGTCACTCGAACCGAACCGCGCCCACCTCTATCTCCTCTAGATTACAAGGCTGGCCGGAAAACAGCATGGATACAGTGGCCTTATCAGATCATTGATTGCATGCATTACTTTGGCAATTCATAATTGGCGACTTCGATTCTCTAAATCTCTTTTCATCTGATAGTAACTTTGCAAACCTACACGATATGAGGTATATAAAAGAAAAAAAAAAAGTTAAATTTGTGACACCAAACAATTTTTTTATCACTATTATCAGTTTTGTAGGTTATTGTTGTTGTTATAACCTCCACCATCATCAATATATCATTATCATAGGGGTAATATATAACCAAAGTCAAATTGGTCAGACTATTGACTTGATAATCATAAGATTTTAAATTTGACTTCGAACCTAGGCTGATTTTATCGTTTTATAATCATAGGGGTAATCGCAAGTTAATTAGACTATTGACTTGGTAACTGGCCATAAAATTACAAGTTTGATGAATTCCAATCTAGACTAGCTGGGAGTTTACTTCCTTAGTCTTTATGCTTATAGGATCGATTAATCTTCAAATTGGTCAGACTATTAACTTGACAGTCCTTAATATATTATGATTACCTTTTGAGAGCATCTTCATTTGTGCCAGAATGTGGAATTGGTTCACTGACACCAGTCTCTAAATTCACCCTGGAAACTGGCTTCTTCAGCAGCTTCTCCCCAATTTCCACCAGCTTTTCCAAATTTTCCTTAGTGGCTGCATCCGCAGAAGTTAGTGTTCCAGTCAAATCGTCCTCCTGTATGTTTACCAATGTTCATCATAAATTAATATCAGAAAACAAAACAAAAAATGAAAAACTAAGAGCTCATATATGAATAGGAATCGGAATCGGAATACTTGAATTCTGAGATAACGATTTTCACATGAGTACTCGAGAGTCTGGAAGACGACGGAGTTATGCAGATCCACCATATCTGCACTGGACTGCATGAAAACTTCGATCAATGGCGTTGAGGTTTTGTGCACTAACCAGCTGAGAATACCCCATTTGGCTGCCTGTTTTGAATCATACTTTTGCTCATTTTTAGCAGCTCCTGTCCCTATAGATATCACACGAAAACTGGGGGAATCTATGGGATTCATGGGGGAGAATTCGTCGTCGTCTGGTTTGTTGTCCAAAATCTGTTTGGTCACTTGGCACATGGCTACCAATGTCTGCAAAACCATACATTAAAGATATATAATGTTGTTTTGTCTGGTTTTTATTGTTAATGTCGTACCGGATTGTTTGCAGCGACGCCGCCGTCTATAAGATTAAATTCTCTGGGCGGTTCAGTTCCATGTTTGGGATCTTGAATCTTGAAATAATGAGCAGGAAGGTATGTGGGAGCGGCTGAAGTGCCAATGCAAACGTCTGACAAATAAGCATTCATTTTTGGGCATCTTTTAGCCTGCAACATATATATATGACAACAGATGATGATGTTACTTATGATGCCGGGTAGAAATTATGGAATTTCCGACCACATGAAAATGATATTAAATGAAGTCGAAAGTAAAAAGTGGTACAAAGGTTTTTCTGGATACCAAAAGTGGTTGGAACAAGACTTAGATTAAGATCACTTTCAGGTGGTCGGTGCGTTATCATTTATCATTTACAATTACTTTATAACTTAGGGATGCAAAATGCAATTTTTCTTTAATAAAATGACACCAATGGTACCAAGTTGCTCTTTATAGGGGAGGTTGTGGGTTCCAAACTCAACTGAGCGGAGGCAATATTGGCTCTTTGTGTTTCATTTGATTGAGATCGAAAGTAGTTATGAACAGATAGTACATTGTAATAGCGTCAGTAACATTAAAAAAAAAAAATGGCACGAACCTGGTAAGTAGAGAAGATGACAGGTTGCAGATTCTTGATGTCAAAAGTGGGAATAACAACGTTAGTAAGAGTATCTGTTAACCGAATGTCTTTCAACTCCTTCTTCAGGAGACTACGCAGGTACTTGCCATCGTACTTAGGGCCAAACACGGATCTAATCGACACCCATATTTCACCAAACCATCCTCTGTCCATCATTTAACGTTAATCATCACGAAATCAAGAAAATTAATAAGATCAAAAGTTAGAGAAAATGAAAGAAAGATATATATACATTCTTGATCCACTTATATATATATTACTCCGTATTACTTACATACCCCTTTTGTGGGAAAATTTTGGGACCGTTGTTTAGGTAGAAAGGCTTAATATCTTTAGCTGCATAAAGGGGGCGCCCATTCTCGTCGGGAGCCGTCAACATGGCCGTCACAAGGCCGCCGGTGCTTGTCCCGGAGATCACGTCGAAGTAGTCTGCCAATCTCGCATCTTCTCCATCCAACTCCTATAATCAAGTCATTACATATAGTCCACCGTTTTCTTTAATGTGTTGTCTTTAATTAAGCGCAATTATTTAATATGTTATAAGTGACAACATTTAAACGACAATGATTATAAACTCTATATCACACTGCTGAAAATTATGGAATTTCCGACCACCTGAAAGTGATCTTAAATCATGTCGAAAGTCTTGTTCCGACCACTTTTAGTATTCGAAAAAATCTGTGCTGCTATTTTCGATCACTTTTTGCTACTTTAAAATCACTTTCAGGTGGTCGGAAATTTCATAGTTTTCAACCATATAAATAAATAACTTACTTGAAGTTGGGTTTCGAGGTAAGCGAGGATAACAGCCGGAATAATTCCTCGAATGCCACCACCGTCGATGCTAAGAACAGTGACTATATTTCCGCCGGTATGGGCTTGAGTTTGTGAGGGTTTTCTCTCAATCTTCACCATTTTTACCTCTAACTTGAGACCTTCAAGCTAGCTACCTAGTTAAGATTATATACTACGATACCAAGCTGAGTCAACTTTCCTGTTTCTTTTGTTTACCAGGTGATTTTCTGCCTTCACTCCATTGATGAACTTTCCTGCAACTTTCAGGTACCTGATGAAGATTCAACTCGGGCGTCAATGTCCCCATAGAACCGGGTGGCTCTTATACACTAATACACGTACAACCTTAACGTGAGTCATGAGTAGCTAAGTCTTTGATTTTATACCTGGATGGTACGTGGTATGGGATACTTTATGAGTAGCAGTTATACCATGGACCCGGTCCAAAATATACAGAATGTTCACAATTTGAATTGTGAACATTTAATTAGTATGTAATTATGTATGTAAGTTGTAAATATTCAGTATGTAAATTGTATATATTTTTGGATGCGAGTTCACTTTGCAAGGTAAATTTGAGTTCACAGAATAACAAACGAATTTGAGATAGATTAGATATATATATGTAATTTTAATTTGGGCAGGTGTAATGTATTTGGGTTTTGAAATGATTATACGGGCAATTATATATGTTATTCTATATATTTATTGTCATTTATTACGTAACATTTAATCTTGGTAAGTATGTTATATTGAGATGAGTAGATGGAAATGGACCGGGGTGAATAGATTGATGATGGTAAGTGAAGTAAGAAATGATGGAAATGTAGTCGGGTGGGTAAATAAATAGTAGGAGCGATGGTGGTCTGGTGAAAGAAAAAATAAGTAGATAGAGATAGATCATGAACATATGAGTAAAGATTATGTAATGATAATGGTGAGTTATATATATTTCTTCATTTGAAAAATATTTTTAAAAAAATTAATGCTTTGTTAAATTGAAAAAAAAAAAATTGCTTTTCCAAATGTAAAAAATGGAAAACAATGAGAAAAAAGAAACAAATTAAACGTTTTCTGGTTAAAAAAAAAAATATTTTTTGTTTCCCATTTTTTAAGTACATGGAAAACATCTTCGGTTATTAAATGGAACGTACTTTAGGTTTTTTGGTACAGTTTTAGCTGTGTTGAAAAAGTCATTCTAGCTACCAACCATTAATTAATGTAGGTTTTTGGTACAGTTTTGGCTGTGTTGAAAAAGCCATTATAGCTACTAGCATTAAGTAGCTATTAATTAATGCTGAAAGTTTAATTTTAGTCAGTATGTGAAAGAGTATCATTACATCGGATATCGTTCACGGAATGGATCAAAAGAGTGTTGGATAGTAAGTTGTTAACCACAAAACATATGAAGTGTTTAGAAGTTAGTTACGTTCTAACAAAGTAGTTGAGAGACGTCATAGAAACAATCAAGTGCAAGTAATGAAAAGAGTTCTACTACATGGACCCCTATCTCTACTCTCTTACTTTTACTTCCTAATGTGACAATGAATGATTAGTTATCTTCATCATGTGGGTCCCAAGAGAAATATCAGCATCACAATTTTGAGAGTAGAGTTTGTGAGTAGAAATAATATTTTCCTAATGAAAAATGTAAGTAACAAGCAATATATGTGAAAACGAAGGTCTTGGACTAAGCCGGCCAACTCTTATCTAGATGCTAAGATGTTTAATTTCCTAGGTTAGAGATCATGTAATGATTTAACAAGAGATTAAGGGAGACGTTACTAGATGCCAAAGTCATTCGCATGGTCATTAGTCTATCAATTAGCTTAAGATCCCATTCTCTGGGCAATCCATGCTAATTGAAGCAATTAATTAAAGACTAATCAATGTGTGTGTCTCCTTCCAACCCCCTTTTCTCAAAGTAACGTTGGAAATGCGAGTGATTTGGCTATAGCGTTGTGGATCGTTATACCCTGCACCACAGGGCACTGTGCGCGGGGCCTCCCAAAACGACGTTATTTTGGGAGACGCGATAGGGAGTTGACGTGATTATGTGTATTTGTTTATACAATTATGTGTGTTTTTATACAATTATATACATGTTTTTTATACAAATATGTACATCCGAATTAGGAGATTTTTTTTTTAAAAAAAGTATGTGTATTTTGTTATATAATTATGTACATTCATGTATACAATTATGTATATTTTTTAGTATAAAATTATGTACATTTTTTAACATGAGATTTAAAAAAAAATAAAATAAAAATAAACCGCCAACATAGGGTAGCGAAAATTTCAAAAAAAATAAATTTTGAAATGACGTCGTTTTGCATTAGAGCGCGCATGCATTAGGGCGCACATTACAATGCGCGCCCTGATGCATGGTATAAATTGCCTAGTGTTGTCCTATTATCATAAGTATAGCAAAAATACACATTCATGATCTTTTGTATAAGTGGGCCCAAATTATACAAAAGTCCATACAAATCACAAAACTCTCAACAAGAATTACATTATCTGTTATTGCAATTCAATTCATACAAGCATCCATAGCAAGCAAGAGCTCAATCCATTCCCTATATAAGACGTAGCTACTCATCATTTCTATTGAAGAGTAAAAACAAAGTGAAATTGCATTAATAAGCATAATTGAATTTTTTATTAAAAAAAAAAACTTAGCTTGATCAATTGGAAGTTGGAAGATACAAACTTGGAATGAAAATGAATTGGAATTACAATCTAAAATCTTGGATGAGCAATCCATCCTAAATCTAGATTAGTTGCAAAGAACAATGATGTTTGAGAGATTTATCTATAAGGAAATTCTATAGAGAGAGCAGGGGAACATAGATAATGATCTAAAAATAACATGTATTCAACGTTCGATCCCTGCTTAGGATAGATAAGTGTTATCTTTTGAACTTTTCTTGGTAAAGATATATTTATTTTAATGATTGTTCAGTAGAATGCAATGTCTTGGAACCGTAGTGTCGTTTGGGTAAATAATGATATATCTTACATAGGAAATTTCTAACATTTATTTTGTTTTCATTTTAACCTTTGTTTTGTTTTAATTTCATGAGTGCGTCCATTTTGACCATGAAACCTTCCGACTTTTGTTTTCTTTTCATGAGTGTACCCGTTTTGGTCATGAAACATTCTGTAAAAAGTTTCTAAATTAAGAATTGAGTCTAATCAATTCTTATTTGAAGCACTTGATATGTGATTTTTTTGAGTATAAGAAAATGCGAAATTGACTGCTACACAAGTATATATAAGGAAATAAAGTTGCACCGTTACTACTAGTTATAATATTTTGTGTACTGGTAAGCGCTTCTGACAAAAGGTATTAGAGCAGGTCACTGCGTGGGATTAAAGTTGGGAGAGGGATTGTTGGGACAGCGGTCATCTTGCCATCAAAATATGGAGTTGTTATTGGACAGCAACTCAGCCAAGTCCAGCATCAACTGCTACGCAAGTATGAGAAAAATAAGGTGGACCTTATAGCTTGCTCCTCGAAAGCAGCTAGCTAAGTCTGAACTCTGGAGCACACTCGAACTTTGACAATTTTATGACAACTTATAGTGGCTACAGCATGAAGCTAATGTATGTACGATTGGGCTAAACTTTTGGGCAGTTCTGTTGCCCATTGCTTAAAAGAATGTCTCTCAGAGTCTTAAGGTTTTCAAGAAATAATTATACGTAGCACAACTAATACTGGAGTCTATGAACTCAATAGGAAAGTCTCAAAGCAAACTTTCCATTACCATCCGAAGTGCTTTTAATCTTATGACTTCCATCACATTTTTTTCTAATGGGCAACAGCTCCATTTACTAAGGACACCTTTTTCAATATTTCGCAACATAAACCTATGACTCTGTTTGTCACACCTAACTGAAAAGCTAGTAGTTGATAAACTAACTGATTGAAATTAAGGTGTTTGGTAAAATTAGATGTTGAAATAAGATGATAAATGTAAAAACATATAAAAGGATACACACACATATATTATTCTGATTAAATATTAAGAAAAATGGAGTTTGATTACTTTGGATGACTACAATGCAATTAAGGGTGATGAGGGTTGGTTGTCTCTCACTTTGATTAACATGTACATACGATAAAAAATTGGGAGGAGAAGAAGGGAGGAGAAGTGTGTTTATAAAAAAAAGTAGATATTAGGATTTTGATTAATAAATTAAAGAATGATAAATTGTGTCATTTTTGTAAATTAATAAGAATAAAAGAATGGGAAAAAATGTATGTTAAAAGCATGTATCTTATTTTGAAAAGTTACTTGGAGGAACATTTCAAAATAAGCTATTATTTTAACCTCCCCATGTTTTACCAAACAGAGCTATCGTCACTACAGTAGAGTTTAACCACCAAATTCGGGATGGATTGGTGTGGTTCCTCTACGCCTAGGACACCAGAAGATCGAATCATGAACGAAGAAAGGCATGAGAGAAAAGCATATTGGCTAACTTTTTTGTAGCTTAAAATAAGCTATAAGCTGTACCAAACATAGTTATAGCTTATTTGTAGTTTAATATATTACAACTAACATTAAGGGATGGAGAAGCAGTGGGATATTCACCTAATGCATATTTTTTGGAGAACAAAATAGAGTGGTTTGTTGAGAATATAATATACTTCGTATAATAATATAAATGTGCTGTCCAAATAATATTATATTAAATTATACTTTTAGTTGTGCTAGATCATACTCTTCAGTTGGATATCAGAGCCAACCGGATATCAAAGGTCATGAGTTTAATTTGAATATCCATGTCTTTGCATCACCCGATTAAATAATATTTACTCATCTCCCCCTCATTATTTGTCTCCTTTCTTACATATAATAAACACTTCAAACTCAACTCTCTTGACTTTTTGGACACGATGATTTCTATTATAAATTAAAGAACCTCACACTTGTACCACTAGTCCACTACATTACAAGATTATTGACAGCGAGAATCAAATTCTTAACTCATCCATCAACTACTATGTTAAGAGTCGTCTCCCCTTCATTATTTGCATCCTTTCTTGCATATATAGTAAACCCTTCAAAATTCATACTCATCTCTCTGGCCAGACTTTTTGAACACAATTTTTATTACAAAATCACACACTTAGCATATACCACAAAATCACAAGATTATTAATAATGAGATTCAAACTTTTTTCATACCCAAAGCCCAATGTCAACTACTATGCCAATTAAGAGTCATCCGCTAAACCATAGTAATTTCAATTCTATGGTTACATAAATGGG